ACTTAAAAAACTCAGCACGCAAATAGCAGCTTGATTTGTCTGGTATCTGTCCCGTACAGTGTTAGTCTGTCTGTCGTTCCGTATTTAAATAAATCGAGAGCCGACTTAAAGCCATTATAGATTTTTCTGTAAACTAAGTTAAATTTAACTACATGGATGTGGGATCACGTGCATGAAAAAGAAATAGTCCATTAGATATTTAATAGGAGTGAATCTTATCAAAAATCCAGCTAACTATATTATCCACGGTATCCAGAGAGCTAATAAAAATCTAAAATCGTTCACATGCTTTAGCTTTAAACGATGTACCTTGCCCTTAACCTGGCCATTTTCCGGATTATTAATTTGACTATATAATTGTAGAACCTGAAGAGAATTTATCAATAGAAATATTCCTCGTCCAAATATTAGTCTTCTGAAATCGTTCATTAAAAAACCCTTTGAAAGTTAGTGCTTGTTTCAAATAAGAAGCAAACATAATTGCTTCATAATCCTACAAAAGTAGAGCATGAAAAGTCCGTCTTCACCATGGCTTCCGTTCTAGTGATCATTTGTAAGGTGAAATGCAATTGATAAGGTTGGAATAATTCTTTTCTGGAATAATTTCCACATGAAAAAGTCTTCAAGTCTAATAGTCACAAACATTTTAAAATGGAATGATGGATTACCAAGCATAGCAAAAAGTCTTCTGAAATCACATTTATTCCGTAAAAAGTAAGATGTAGTTCAGTCATACAGTTATGCACTAAAATTTCCACATTCTGGGAAGTTGATTCAATTCAACGATTATTCGAGGCATAGTGCGAGCTTATCTTCATACAAACCTGACGTATCATACATTGAAGATGGTCCCTAGTCATTGTTAATTAGAATGTAAAGGACTAATATGCTGAACTCCTGAAATGAACTTTTAATAAACTGAAAACTAGACAAAAACAGTGCAAAAGTTATTATTACGTAACTTCATTAAATATGCAACTATCTGAAGCGGTTTCTTGACTGTGTAACTGAAGAGCACCTTTGGTTGTCAAAGATTTTACTCTGTCATTTCAGTAATCTTTGCCCTGAATGTTAGGAGTTACTATTTTCATGATATGTCTCTGTTTTGCTATATATCACTGCTAGTTTTCTCATCGTGTCATATGGTTGTTTCATATTTCCTTCTGTTCCAGCTTTTTCCACTGTCTTCTGCTTGTCGGCTCTAATGCTCTTCTTTACTCGTTTGCTTGCTTCAGTGTATTCAGTTTGTGCCTTGACTTTCCCTTTTCTTGTTTGACTGTTGTTAATTGCTGTGTTTTTGTTCTTCCTCTGTTCAATCTTGTCTAAAGTTTCGATAGAAATCCATTCCTTATGATGATGCTTCTTGCATCCCAGAACTCCCTGACACATTAAAGTTAGTGCCTCTTTAATTCCCTCCCAGTTGTTTCCTCTTCTTCCAGTAGATCTTTTAAGACTTGAAACCTGTTGAAAGCTATCTTGAATTCGCTGAGTTCGTTATTATCTCGAAGGAAGGCTGTATTGAACCTTTGTTATGCTGTTTGTCTAGTTGTCCCGTATTTCTTTAGCTTCAGTTTTATCTTGGCAACCACCAGGTGGTGATCTGTATCTATGTCAGCTCCTCTCTTAGTTCTTACTTCTTCCATTGTCCTTCTGAATGTTTTGTTGATACAAATATGTTCTGTCTGGTTTTCCGTGGTGTAGTCTGGTGAGATCCACGTAGCTTTGTGCATGCGCTTGTGCGGAACATTGTACTGCCTATAACCAATTTGTTGGCCTGGTTGTTGGAAGGGGCATAAGCCTCGTGACTTTTGAAGAATTTCGGCTTTCATCATGAGGAGTCATATTTCCTGCTTCAACTCAAAGGGCAGAGTTTAAATAGTTTAATATGATTAATCTGGTCTTCGCCTTTTTGTCAAGATTTTTTTATACGCGACAGGGTTGCCAATCCCATGCCCGACCCTCCTCCTTTGTGTGGGCTTCGGACCGGCGGCAGCTCTAGAAGAGCTACAGTTTGAGTTTCTCATGAAAGTAGCTTTAGTCAAATCTAACACTTTTCATCGTTTGAGGTCATGAAGTCAAATTTAAAGTCCTTGCTTAAGTTCACTAGCTTGGAATGTTGAACTGATCATGTATTTTAGGTGATGCGTAAATTTAATGAATTTTTCAGTTATAACTAAGAAAACCGCCAACTATTAACTTTATCAAGAACCACAAAGAACGTTTATTCAACCATTGTATAGCATCTTACTTACTTACTTACGCCTGTTACTCCTCGTGAAGGAGCATAGGCCACTCACCAGCATTCTCCATCCAACCCTGTCCTGGGCAATCCTTTCTAGCTCCGTCCAGTTGTAATTCATCCTTTTCATATCTGCTTCTATTATCCGACGCAATGTGTTCTTTGGCCTTCCTCTTTTTCGCTTCCCTTCAGGGTTCCAAGTTAGGGCTTGCCTCGTGATGCAGTTTGACGATTTGCGTAATGTATGTCCTATCCATTTCCATCGTCTTTTCCTAATTTCTTCTTCAGCTGGAAGTTGGTTTGTTCTCTCCCACAGAAGGCTATTGCTGATGGTATCCGGCCAGTGGATGTTGAGTATCTTGCGTAGGCAGCTATTTATAAATACTTGTACTTTCTTGATTGTGGTTGTTGTAGTTCTCCAAGTTTCAGCTCCATACAGTAGAACTGCCTTGACGTTCGTATTGAAGATTCTCACTTTGATATTGGTTGAAAGTTGTTTTGAGTTCCATATGTTCTTCAATTGTAGGAATGCGACCCTTGCTTTGCCGATCCTCGCCTTTACGTCTGCATCTGAACCTCCTTGTTCATCGATGATGCTTCCTAGGTATGTGAAGGACTCTACATCTTCCAGAGTTTCGCCATCAAGAGTGATTGGATTGCTGTTCTCCGCTTTGAATTTGAGGACCTTGGTTTTCCCTTTGTGTATGCTGAGGCCTACTGATGCAGAGACTGCTGCTACACTGGCTGTCTTCATCTGCATCTGTTCGTGTGTACGTGATAGGAGGGCTAGGTCGTCTGCGAAGTCCAAATCGTCTAATTGATTCTGAGCTGTCCATTGTATTCCGTGTTTTCCTTCAGATGTCGAGGTCTTCATAATCCAGTCGACCACCAGAAGAAAGAGGAAGGGAGAGAGTAAACAGCCTTGTCTGACTCCAGTCCTTACTTGGAATGCATCTGTCAGCTGTCCTCCATGCACTACTTTGCACTGTAGTCCGTCGTATGAGTTCCGGATAATGTTGACAATCTTCTCAGGAACTCCGTAGTGTCGAAGAAGTTTCCATAATGTCCTCCTATCTACACTGTCGAATGCCTTTTCATAATCAATGAAGTTGATGTATAGTGATGAGTTCCACTCAACTGATTGTTCGACGATGATCCGTAGTGTTGCAATTTGGTCTGTGCACGACCGATCCTTACGGAATCCAGCTTGTTGATCTCGAAGTTGGGCGTCTACTGCATCCTTCATCCGGTTCAGCAACACTCTGTTGAAGACTTTCCCTGGTATTGACAGTAGTGTAATGCCTCTGTAGTTTTCACATTTGCTCAGATCTCCTTTCTTTGGAATCTTGACGAGGTGCCCTTCTTTCCAGTCCATCGGCACTTGTTCCTCCTCCCAAATCTTTTTGAATAGAAGGTAAAGCATGCTTGTGGTTGCTTCGATGTCTGATTTCAGTGCTTCAGCTGGTATGTTGTCGGGTCCTGCTGCTTTCCCGTTCTTGATTTGTCTGACGGCCATTCTAATTTCTTCCGTCGTTGGTGGGTTGACATCTATAGGAAGATCTATGTGTGCTGCCTCGATGTCCGGTGGATTCATTGGAGCCGGCCTATTCAGGAGTTCCTCGAAGTATTCCACCCATCTGTTACGCTGTTGTTGAATTTCGGTGATTGGCCAGCCTTCTTTGTCTTTGACTGGCCTCTCTGGTTTACTGTATTTCCCTGATAGTTTCTTCGTTGTATCGTGAAGCTGTTTCATATTTCCTTCTCTAGCAGCTTTTTCTGCCGTCGTTGCTAGTTCTTCCACGTATTTCTTCTTGTCGGCTCTAATGCTTTTCTTCACTTGTTTGTTTGCTTCTATGTATTCAGCTTGTGCTTGGACTTTCTCTGCTCGTGTTCGGCTGTTGTTTATTGCTGCCTTCTTGTTCTTCCTTTCTTTGATCTTGTCCAGTGTTTCTGTAGAGATCCATTCCTTATGATGGTGCTTCTTGTGGCCCAGAACCTCCTGACACGTTGAAGTTAATGCTTCCTTGATGCATTTCCAGTTGTCCTTTATAGTAGTTTCTTCTTCTTTCAGTAGATCTTGTAAGGCTTGGAAGTATAGCATCTTAGGCTTATATGATTCCAAACAGATAACTAGTTGCAAACTCCTTATCTCTTAATATGTATCTCAAGAGAAACATTGTTAAGATTTGTAGCCAGCCAATGAAAATTTAAAACAACACGAAAGATAAGAGAAAACAGTTACAATAGCTCAATAAATAATCATATATTACTTTTCCCAGTTGTCTTCAGTGTTTATTTTACTAATTCTATTCACATTTCATCCGAGTCTCATTTGTTGGCGAAAAATGATGAAGAAAATATACAGATAACACAATTAATTTACTTATAAGCACAATAAAAAGTTTACTTAGTGTTTTATTGACATCTTGTGATTGAATGATTCTTATTAGCAGTCCATAGAGTACCAAGCACTTGGTCACCTTAATAACAATTATTTGTTCCAACTATCTACATGTCATGCTGATAAAATTTTATTAAATGCATTAGTGTAGGTAATGATTCAATTGTGTTAGGTAGTACAGTTTATCAACAAGAACTGGTTTACTATTTTGCTATCTCTTAATGGTGTAAAATTCAACATAAGACAAAAGAGATAAACATTTTCTGTGAATTATTTTTCAATGATTATTGCCTGTCGAAAGATAATGTCTACAAATGAATTCCTTTAAATTTTGAAGTTATTTTCTATTTTCTATTCACAGAACCTTAATGCTTTATAAAATTTAATAAATCTAAATACACCTCCATTGTTACTGAAGTCAAGTTCAAAGAAATTGAATCAGTTGGCTCATACATTTCCATGATGCGTGAAAGTATCCGAAGAGGACCAGTTGTATGTGATAGTTCCTATCCTTGTTCCACACATGAAGTGTCATGTAAGCATTTTAAACCCCATCACCATTTAAATGTCACAAGAAGTATGGGACTGGAAGAATGAAACTCTCGTCCAAGATATGTCATAAAAAGGATACTGGAAAGTTAGTTTTCATTAATTTGACATGATACATCTGTTTACAGTTAATTCATTTGCTTTTGACGCGATAGTTAGTGCTGATTTCCTCTTATATTGAGTGGTTTTGCTCAGGGAACCAAGTGCTCAATTTCACGCTATAGACTTGTATCAAATATGAACTTAGCCATACCATGTTATTTTCATTAAAATAAAACAAGGAAGAAAGCAAAAATTTAAAAAATCATAAAGAACTAATCTATAAATAGGCTACAATCTCCTAGAGTGAATTTCATAAAATAATATAGACCAGTTTCTAAGATTATAAATTCGTGGAGAATTATGGCTGATAGCAGTTTTTATCAAACCCTGTTCTCATTGCATTATTTTGTGCTAATCCCTTAAAGCATTATTCAGAATATTTCACTTTACCAGAAGTTTTTAATTCCGTTCCACATAATAAATCAATCTTCGTCTACACAGTTTCGTGGACATTTTAAAAATATTTGTCTCAGGTTTGTTCATAAGTTGATCTCATTGTTGATAATGAAATGACAACAAAGCCCCCAAATGCCATAGTACGGCTGAGGGTGGGGAGGGTCAGCCCCCCTCTCTCTCGAAACGCTCTCAGATGATCACGCGTATACAATCACTGTCAAGGAAGTCCTACTCACTGCCTTCTCACGGCGGGATGTTGTCTACGAAATCGAGAGGATGAAAAGCGAATGTTCGGCGCTTTAGCCGGGTTGGTGGACATAGGGGGTCTACCTAGGGAAGTTAGGGAACCCTGATTCCAAACCAATGGTGCACATATGCTCCAGTATCCCGAGGGAACAAATGGCATGTGAACTTACTGTTGGTCACCGATTAGCATGGGACTGAGTCTCCTGACGTTACCTCAGACCTTTAGGTCGGAGGCTCCGGGAGTTTCCCCTCAGGAAAACCACCTGCTTCGTTCTAGGCACCCGGGAAGTATCACAGCCCACATACAAATCGAATGACGAAGTGTGGTGCATATGTATTCGGTGCCCCTTTGTATCAATATTAATGTGTTCAAATAAATAAATAATTAAAATCTCTATTCCATAATAATAAGTCACAAGTGACCAAATTTAAGGGAACTGGAACTTCAACAGATCATACGTAAAACTAAAATGTGCATTTGTGTAGTCTAATCACGTTTGTTATTAATAAACATATGTCGAACTTTTTCTTCTATTCAGACATGAAACACCTAGTAAAAACTCTTCAGAAATTTGTCAACCTGATAATATTCCTAGTAGTAGCAGTGAGAATAGTTCAATGAATATGAATTCTGATGATAATACAAAAGAGTGTATACTGAATCCTATTAATATGGACGATTGTAGTATTCTTCAACATGAACAATGTAATGACACACAATCTAACCAAAGTATCTTTTTCGATTTATTATCTAAACTTGAAAGACATTTGGATGAAGAGAGAAAAGCCGTAAGTTTGTATGTAGTAAGCATTATAAAAGTAAAACATGTGTTGTTTAAATATTTATATTCTTTTGAAGGCTCTAGACTTTATGGAAACAGTTCTATGTGAATAGATCATTTTGTGATGAACAAGATAAGTAAAGCATTAAATGTCAATACTAAACTCGTTGAATCTTGTTCAAACCTCGATTTCAACATGATTGGATGACATTTTATAAACCTTATTTATCTTTGATAATTTTGGTTCTAATTATTTTGCTGAAGAAGCCAGTTCTCCATGTGAAACGTTTAAGTTATTCAAATCTCAATATTTGTGATTACTTCAAATATTATGTTTACATCTAATTTCTTCTATATATTTGGGGCCCGGGTTCTATCGAATTTTATATACGATTACAGCAAGGTTTTCATCATCTTCTACATCATATATTTTATTCTTAGGTCAAACAGCTTGTAGAGATTAAATAGCGCTGTAGGTATTTTTCATCACAAACTATTATTGACCAGAGAATTATCATAAACCAATGAGAAATAGATAGTTCTCACATTTTACTTGGGAACTCTTAAGCAATAAATCCCTAGGACTAAGGAATCGGAACTAAGAACTCCAGGGTACATGACGATCATTTTATTTTTAAACTATTAGATAAAAACCTGACGCTTTATAGTTTCCAAATTCAGTCAATTTGTAAAGCAACACAATATTTACTCATATTTATCATTAGCAACAACATACACAAAGAAAAAGGAAAGTTCCTCGAATACAACAAAGAGAACGACAACCCAATCACACTTAACGGAGAAGCTCTTGAAGAGGTGGAGGCTTTCATGTACCTGAGAAGCATCATCGATGAACAAGGAGGATCGGATAGAGACGTAAAGCAAGGGATGCATTCCTACAGTTGAAGAAAATACGGAACTCAAAACAAGTGTCAACCCATATCAATGTCACAATCTTCAATGCGAACGTCAAGACAGTTAGTTCTATTGTATGCAGTTAAAAATTGGAGAACCACTAAAACCATCATCAATAAGGTACAAGCATTTATAAACAGTTGTCTACGTAGCATACTCAAATGTTGATTTGCCGGATACTATCAACAAAAATCTACTCTGGGAGAGAACAAACCAGGCTCTAGCTGAAAAGGAAATTAGAAAAAAACAATGGAAGTGGATAAGACATACATTACGGAAATCATCAAACTATATCACAAGGCAAGCACTTACATGGAATCCTGAAGGGAAGCGGAAAAGATGAAGGCCGAAGAACACACTGCGTCGGGAATTTAAAGCATATATCGAAAGCATAAATAGTAACTGGAAACAACTGGAAAGGATTGTTCAAGACAAAGTTGGATGGAGAATGTTGTTGGGCGGCCTATGATCCTCGACGAGGGTTAACAGCCGTAAGTAAGTAAGTCAGTATCATTAGCAAATTACCGCCTGAAATCTGACATGACTGCAAATTTGGTATTAGAACTTCAAAAAATTCGTCTTTTAGTATGTCACCATTAATCTCATAATCTAGTATGACTTACTTGGAAGGGTTGGTTATCATGAGATTTTACACATCATAAGTGTGTTTAATATCATAAAACATCATCAAACGAATAATCATTTGAAAACTAATATCATTCTAGTTTATGACTTATAGTAGTACCTAAACATATTGATAAACTGATTTGTTTTTGTTGCGATGCGCTTAACTTATTTGTTAAGAAAGAAATGTTTCAGTCTCAGAATTACAAACTTGTCAACACCAGACAATGATACTAAGTATTATGTAAACTAAGAATACAATTTAAAATAAGCAGAAATTTCGAACAGGAATACAATTACTTGCATACTAAACATTGTGTTTCATCCTTAGTATCGAAATATATTTGAAATGCTGTATTCGTTTTCCTTTTCTTGTTTTGTTTTATTTTGCTATAATTACAATAAATAGAAGAGATTGACTGTGATTGGTATTTATAATAAGATGGGTAGGATTCTGAGAAACTCTACGGTAGAACTTTTTGGAAGTAATAATGGTGAGAATATAATATATGAACGATATTTCAGCGAAACCAAAGTGACCTTGAGAGTTTCTACCTACTTACTAGGGCTAAATGAGGATTATAAAACATTTTGAAGAATAAGGACTATCATTTACAATTGATGGTGAGGATTAGAAATTAGATTCAGGGTTTTCATCACAAACTGACATCAGCTAGAACGCCAAGATTCTATTTAGCGAATTGAGTGAATGAATTTCACACCAAAATCTAAGACCTGTTATCGTAAATCTGATTGGTTCGTCCATAAATTCTAATCTCGCAGACATTATAATTAATGGCTATAGGAACATTTTAGGTCAGCTTATATTTTCAAATAAAGACGATCTATAAAAGTGTGTAGTGTCGGTTGCTATGTTAAGCCCACATAGTTTATTCTAGCTTTTGTACAGGCCAATTTATCCATTCTTCTTGAGTCACATTTTGACCTTGTTAATTATCCACTTATCAACCTTGACTGTTTTTATATGAGCATAATCTTCTGAATTCTTCATGTTCCTTTTTTCTCTTTCCAAATTTATTTCACTGGATTATAACATCTTCAAACCCTAATGTTTCCGATTACTGCTTATACTTTTACTACCTCTACCACTATGTGATTTGAATTGACAATTATATCTCCGTGCTAATGTAATGTGGTATGGCAACTCGAACTGATGTACGTACGTACGAAGTTCTACGTTGTTAATGATTGATTGACTGACTGACTTATATGAGCATATTTGTGTGTACATCTCATCCTACTCATCACATGTCTGTAGCTTATTGATTGAATGAAGTAGGCTCACATTCCTTCTCCACCGCGTGTCATTTCTCTTCTCCCTCTTCGTTTCATTCCTCTGATTGTTTGTCCAGATCAATGAGTGTACAAAATATACGTATTCAAAAGTCCATTCTCGTATTTGACTTACTTAATTTCGTTATTTACTAACGTGATTTAAGTTGATGATTATACATAAGAGGATTGGTGAAATGTATCTTTCATTAGGAATTATTCCTAAGATCTAATTGGAGTTATATACAGGCTTCACAAATTCTCAACTGATATTGATTTTGAAGTATAAATTGTGTTATATCCGAACGAAGACTAAATCACGAGTAACTTCTGAGACATATTGATTGACTAATATTATCTATGCATTCTTATGATATAACTATTCAATAATTAGATTATGTATATTTATATTCCTCTTATTATAAGCTTTATTTTGACCTATAATTTATTATTGTACGATTTACGGTTCTTAAGCTATGTTCAGTTTGTTGACGACTGTCTCCCACGTTCACAGCCACATATGGTACGTTGTGGTCTGTCTGGTTGATATATATATATAAATAAACCGAGTATTATAAGCAAAGATGAATAGTGGCTAGCAGTGGAATTCAGGACGCGAGTTTCGTCCTGTCCGGGACTCATCAGCTGGATGTACCTCCATCTAAGATTTGATGTTCACTTTGGGACTCGAACTCAGTACCGTTCGCTTCAAATGCCATCGCGTTATCCAAACCGAGTATGTTTCAAATAAGTGATTCATATTGCGGAAGCTGGTATTGGTGTTCTGGACTCAAGTGGACGGGCTAGGCAGACATAGGACCAATAAGGACGCTAGGCTGCTCATACCGCTCGAACGTCATTGGTTTGACACAGTGCGAAGATTGTATAAGTCGTATTTTGATTGATGGATAAATCACGTGACAAGAAACCGGATATAAACACATAAGAAATTTTTTTTTTTTCTCTTATTAGAATGCAAAATTACAAGTTGAATTAATGAATAAAACTGAATATGAAAAACAAATATCTGATCTACGATCCAATTATGAAGCTGAAGTATTTCGTTTACAAAATGTGATAACACGTTTACAAGTAAAATGAAAACAAAAAAAATTGTTTTTCCAGATCTATTTTTGTCAAACTATTTCATCTATTTATGATGATTAGATACAGTATTTAAAGGGGTATTTTTTTAGTTGTGTATCTTTCCTAAACAATGATTCTATTTAAGTCTAAGTAAATTGTACTATGCTATAACAATGATGAAATAAGACTGTTGATAATGGATATCATTGAGTCAGTCAGTTACAATGTAGGACCAGACACATATATGTGCATCGGTTCAAGTTCCCATACCTCATTAGCACAACAAGATGAATACCGAATCCATAAAGTAGTTAATTCAATGGTGGTAATATATAAAAGAAAGATTGCAATAAGGATATAGTACAAGAAGAAAGATTTAATACGTAGAAAGAAAGATGTGAAGCGACTTTAATCTCATAGATCAAGGGAAGACAGAGAGTGTTTATACCTGAACCATGTCACCCATAGTCTCCAACCATTGATTACGATAGCTACGCGGACCCCAACCAAGTAGTCTGCATCTATCAACATGGCTAAGACTAGAAGTTAGTGACTTCAAGCACTGATACCACGTTTTGGTTTGGCCACCCCTAACTTTCTTCCAACCATCTCCAACACCGGTTAGCATTGCACGTCGTGGTAACCGGTGTTCAGGCGTACGTAACACGTGACCCGACCATCTCAGTCGATGAAGATTCACAACCTCATCTACTGATTTACCATCATTTTCTAATACCCTGCGTCTAGCCTCACTATTACTTACCCATTGATCCCAGCAGATGCGAGAAATATTTCTAAGGCATCTGTGGTCAGTGGATGAATGAAAACTCTATCATCATAACATAACTTGAGTACCGTAAGGCCAAATAATACACACTATTATTATTATCATGAAAAAAACAACAGAAAAGAAAGAAAAAAGGTGAAAATAAAGATTTGAAACTGTACAGCTTATCAATTAGAGACATGTTTAAAAATACAGGTTATTGAATAGGTCAACTCTAACCACCTGTTCGTCACAGAGTATATTTGCTAGATAAGGTATTATAGAACTTTTATACTTTTGCTTGCGTGCATGGATTTGAATGTAATTGCGTCTCGTTCTACCAGAAGATGTACGAGGAGAAAGATAAGAGTGAAGGGGATGGCTAGTATCTGATAAGATAACACCTGCTAAGAGTTTGCAAGACTTTAGATGTCTATCCACAACCATATTAATAATGACCTCGAAAGATTCACCACACACCTTGCTAACTGCCTTCAGCACTCTCCATAATACAGCAAAGTCTTTTGTCAAAATCCCCGGGAAAGAATAATGGAGAACAGTAAAGAATAATAGGTAATATGCTAGAATTGACAAATTGTAAGAGTAAATGACGAGTAATCCCAAGAGCATGCAATCTCTTTATGTAGTAAGTCAGACGGCAAACCTTCTTCGATAACAATAAAACGTGGTAAGACCAAGAGAGATCAGAGGAAAAGGTGACACCAAGATAATTGACCTTCGACACTGTGTCTATCAAAGAGTCTCCAATGGCACAAGCATTATGGGATCTCAAAATGGTGTTTAGGTTCCGTTCATGTCTCATGCTAAAGTTAACGGCTTGACATTTAGACGGATTAAGTAAGAGACCATTACCAAGAGATCAACAATCAATACGAGACAATAACTCATCCATTTCTATGGGATGTAAAGAGGAAGAGATAGGCATACATACAGTGAGATTATCCGCATATTTAACAAAAGTGTTTTCTATGAAAGATGACAGGCCATGCAGAAAAGAAGAGGTAGAAGAACGACTTCTTGTGGTACACTTCAATTAGTTCCTTATTATCTTACAGTCCGGTCGGTCAGTCTGATCAGCATAATGTTGAGCAAGTCAGTCAACTACGGGTATCCTATTCTAAAGAAATAAAATTCAGTTGTTTATGTTCTCAAAAACCATAAGACTTTTTGATGTAGACCAAAGCTACTCCTAACGACCAAAGCATACTCATCTTATCCTACTACTTTTAAAATACACAGTCCTTTTAATGTTATTTCATTCTTATTCAATCTCAAATCTTCTACTTAATTTATGCTTACATTTCTAAAATGATAGTTAATATTGAGTCAAAACAATTGTAAAAAATGTCATCAGATTTATGGTCAGTTTATACATGATCTACTTATTCTGTTCTACCTTATTCAGTAGTTCTCTTTGAATAAAAACCAGAATTTAAAAGTAAATTGAATTCCTTATTTTAAAGTAAATAAAGATATAGCCCTTTCGGTCAATGCTGTATCATGGTATATTCCTTCGTGTGGTTGCTTGAAATGATTAACTTACTTAATTACGCCCGTTAATCCCAAATGAGCATAGGTCGCCGACCACCATTCTCCAACTCAATCTGTCCTAGGCCTTCCTTTCTATTTCTATCCAATTTTTATTCATTCTTCTCATGTTTGTCTGTCTCCATTTCCAAAACGTAATGTGTTCGTTGGTCTTCCTCTTATCCTTTGACCTTGAGGATTCAATATGAGGGCTTGCCTTGTGACTCAGTTGGGTGATTTCCTCATTGTGTGTACTAACCACTTCCAGTGATTCTTCCTAATTTCTTCCTCCATTGGGATCTGATTTGTTCTTTCCCACAGTAGGTTGTTGCTAATACTGTCTGATCAACCTATCCGAAGTATTTTGCGTAGGCAACTGTTAATAAACACCTGTATCTTCTGGATGATGGCTTTCGTAGTTCTCCAGGTTTCTGCCCCAAACAGTAGAACTGTCTTGGCATTTGTAAAAAAATACTGACTTTGGTGTTGGTTGACAGACAGTTGTTTTGAGTTCCAGATGTTCTTCAATTGTAGATGTGTTGTTCTTGCTTTGCCGATCCGCGCCTTCAAATCTGCATCAAATCCACCGTGTTCATCAATGATGCTACCCAAATATGTAAATGTTTTTACATCTTCCATATCTTCTTCGTCAAGTGTGAGTCGATTGATGCATGCTGTGTTATATCAGAGAATCTTGCTCTTCCCTTTGTGTATATTGAAACCTACTTCTGTTGAGGCTGCTGCTACACTGGCCGTCTTCTCCTGCAATTGTTTTTGTAAGCCCTCACTTTGGAATTATTTAGCTTTTAGTTAAAATACTTCTATTTTAATGTCATAGTTGATATTCTTGCAATTCAGTCAATTAAGTACTCTACTAAATACCAGTATATTTACCTTGCACATCAGTGCTCCAATATACTTCACTTCTGCTGACTGGATATAAAATGTTGTCATTCTTAGCTGTTATTTATGTTAATGAATGTATAGGTGTTTGAATCCCATATAAAATCTGTATTTTTAAAGCTACATTATTTGTTTTGCACTCGTTCATCTTGGTTATATCATATGTACAATTACATTTGAATAGATCTCCTTGGTTGAAATATTTTTACAGTAATTTTTTACAATAATAATATTCTACTTTAATTAAAACAAGTAGTACAATGTTGTAAATGAAATTTTACTGACTATATATGTTTTTCAAATATTGTTCAACTTTTCTTTTACGAAATAGGGCAATTCACATTATAACGATAAAATAAGTCATGATGATGAAAAACTAGCCAACCTAAATACAGAAGTTAACGAAGTGAATGTTAGAAGGAATAATGATGCAGAATCGAATACTGACAAGTGTATTAAACCTGTGCAAAATTTCACTAGTATGGATGAACTGAAAAAAGAATATGCAAAGCAAGAATTACTAATTGCAGGTTATCAACGTGAAAATGAAAAGTTGTATGCAACTGTTAAAAAATTACATAAAGTTAGTTTGTGCGTTTTCTGTCAAAAGTATGTCGTCTATTGTTATATCCATTATCCAGATAATTCATTAAGGCATACAGGTTTTCGATGGTGATCTAACACCATCGGTTCATGACCTCAATCGAAAACTTATTAATCTTCACAACCCCATATTGATAATTACCATGTGATTGCTGGTGAACAGCTTCTTGAGGGAGTTCTCGAAGTTCTAGTGAGAAGCTGTGACCAGTGGAGCTAATCCATGTTGGATAGCGACAGGTACCTACTTCAGTAGAATGGAAGATGGTTGTGCAATTTCGTGGATTGGTTGAGATTAGACACTAAAACCGTTGGATGCCGGCTCAGTGATCTAGAGGTTAAGTGCTCGCGCCCGAGACCGGAGGACCTGAGTTCAAATTCCGCGAGCGGGATCGTGGATGCGCACTGTTGAAGAGTCCCACAATACAACGAAACGGCCGTTCAGTGCTTCCAGGTTTTCAGTGGTGGTCTAACGGTTCATGATCTCAATCAGAAAAAAATTATTAGGTCTCCTAACTGTTCAAAGAAGTACTCATTGAAGGTTCAACACTTCTTCAGTTGTTATAACCATGGAAAACCAGTAATCTATGGTATTGGTTCTTTCAGTAACAATTAATCCGGGCAACGCAAAGAGGAGGAGGAGACTGATGGCGGAGAAATATTTTACTCATCATCAAAATTAAAAACATGAGAATAACTCTGTAATCAATATGTACTTATTTATGCACTGATTTTACTGCCATTTATTGAGTAATCACAAACTGGAGAAATACAAAAGTGTATTTTACACTAAAGTAATTCAAAACCAATACTGTATAGTATACCGAATGAAATTCGCATTAAGTTATTACAAATATAACACATATCACACTGAAATTAACCATATATTATAATAAGCAATTAGTATACTAAATGACTTAATACATTATCTTAATACATTTCATATTACAATAATTGAGATCGTGAGTCAACTGAAGCTAGGCTACCATGGAAAACCTGGAAGCACTGGATGGTCGTTTCGTCCTATTGTGGGACTCCTCAATTCAACCGGGTCTGTTGTGAGATAGTAGCTCATTGATGACAACGATGGATGTGTCGTGGATTAGTTGAAGCTAGATATTAACACCGTTGGATGACGGCTCAGTGATCTAGTGGTTAGGCGCTCGTGTACGAGACTGATAGTTCCTGGTTTGAATATCTTCCATGGAGGATCGTGGGTGCGCACTTCTGAGTATTCCCACAGTAGGACAAAACGACCGTCTGTTACTTCCAGGTTTTTCACGGTTTTATGCTTTAATTGACTCATCATCTCAACTATTGAAATTACTACAATCTCCAGAAAACTCCTTCTGATACATTTCATATTAGTTTGTTTCTTATCCCTTCTTTTTTGAAATCTAGGATAAGCAAACTGAAACTGAAGATTCACAGACAGCAAAACGTCTTACTAATGAAAATCTTTCTTTAAGAGTTGAAGTTGAACAATTAAATAAAGAACTAAAATTGCGTAGTCAACAAATATGTACCATGTTATCTGGGAATTCAAGATTGAATCAAGGTAAACCGATTTGTATTAGGCATAAAATTACAGTTACTTGGTAAAATAAAAAACCATATAGTAAATCGTTAATTTGCAAAATATTATTTCATCATATCAAACCTGACTGTTGCCGTTGCAAACATCAATCCATTGTCTCACATTTCATTGTTCATGCGGTTTCTTACAAATGCCATTGTGTTCTCGCTCTTCCTTTCTTGATCTTCCTCCATCTTCTGTGGCCAGACATTACGTTCTTTACCTCGCGTTATATACTACTTATATCAATATAAGTAGCACGCACTACAATAGTAGTTACTCTATGATTTATGGGAAAATACATTGAATGTTGAAGTCCCTTTTTTATTTTCTCTTAAAAGTTCAGTTTTGCTTATAATCAATGAAAAGATTCATTATCAAACTGTAACCGAAATTGTATAAACTCAATTCAGCAAATATGCTCATATTTAAAAAGAAATATACTTCTTCCGTAAATAATTCTCTCTTATATTGACTCCTTATTCTTTATAGGTAATCAATTCTATAAAATACCATTGTGATTAGAGTAAAGATACAATTGATTTGTTAAAACATTCTTGAACCTACTTTAGTTTGTATATACGAGTAATACCAATAATTTTTAATGTACAAAACATGTAGCTCGAAGTTGAGTACAATAATTTACATTCAATTAGTGACTTACATTGCACTGATGGTACGTTGAAAAATGGGCAGAATAAATGCAAACAAATACCTAATGAAAAATGATAGTCCTTTCAGGTTCACTAACAATTTTGTGAATCCATAATAACTATCCTATTTTCCAATAAACAACTATATATATGTATACCTGTTACCTCTCGTGAAGGAGCATGGAGTGCTCATCAGCACTCTCAATCCAACCCTGTCCTGGGCAATCCTTCACAGTTCCTATTCATCCTTCTCATATCTGCTTCTAATTCTCAACACAATGTGTTCTTTCTGTCAGTCAGTCAGTCAGTTACAACGTATAACTTCGTATGTACGTACATCAAATCGAGTTGCCATACCATATTACATTAGCACAGAGATATAATTGTCAATTTAAATCACATAGTGGTACAGGTAGTAAAAGTATAAGTAGTAATCGGAAACATTAGGGTTTGAAGAAGTTATAATCCAGTGAAATAAATTTGGAAAGAGAAAAAAGGGAAATGAAGATTTCAGAAGATTAGAATTTAGGCGAACACAAAGAGTTGATGCACCTGCGCCATTGCAAACGATGTTGAGCCATGTCATTCAGTGTCTCTAACCATCGGTTGCTATCGTCTCGCGGATCCTAACCAGGTAGTCTACACCTACCAACATGGCTTAGTCCACTTATCAGTGACTTCATAAATTTGTGCAATATTTTGCTCTGGTTGGTGGTTGAGGATACGTAACACGTGTTCCGGCCATCTTAATTGATTAATGTGTTCTTTGGTCTTCTTCTTTTCTGTTTCCCTTCAGGATTCCAGGTTAGCTATGTTCTCGTGATGTAGTTTGTTGATTTCCACGATGTATTTCCTATCCACCTTCGACGTAGATATGGCCTTAAGTCACAAACACTATAAGCAGAGATGATAGTGACTAGCAGTGGAATTCAGGATGCGCACATACATCAATAAGAAACTGATCATTTACCTTCTTAAACATCAATGGAATGATTTAAACAACCAATGAAGAAATAAATTAAATTTTACCCCATTACACAATCTAGTAAATAAGTATATAATACAATGGCGTTTGAACCAAAGATTACTGAGTTCGAGTCCCAAAGTGAACACCAACTTTGAAGTCTAGGTACATTTCGCTGACGAATCTCAAATAGGATGAAACTCACGTTCTAAATTCCATTGTTAGTTACCATCATCTCTGTATGAGAACTATGTATCAAATTTAATTCTGTATCACAATAATTAGAATGGAATTTTATGAATATTTAATCATAAAACAGTAAATTGTGAATAGTGAGCATAACAACCATAATAAATAATATGATCATATCAGACATATATTTAATTTTTCGTCTTATATTTATGACAGAAAATCGAATAAATGAATTACAAGAAATGAATAAACAATTGGATAATGAAAGAAATAAGTTAACAAAAGAATTAAATGATACACGTTTAGAGTTGACAAACATGAATTTAAAAGTAAGTGAATATCCTGTTAAAGTCGTACAGTTTTATTCGCCTATGTGTGTGCGTTTGTGTGGAGATATCTGTAGATGAATATGAGTACTGACCATTTGAGATTAACTAGTTAACTATTGGAGATTAATGAATTCTAGGCAGATCCAGCTGACGAGTCCCAAATTGGACGAAACACGCGTCCTGGATTCCACTGCTAGCCACTATCCATCATTACTTACAAATAGCTTGTGATTTAAGGCTATATCGATGCACACGCACAGTATGCACATATACCAGTGAGAGACCGATCAATTACAGTCTTAAACATCAATAGGAAGATTCAAGTAAAACAATACCAAATGAGTTCTAGTCAGATAGTTGATATTAATTACTAGTACTTACTTGCGCCTTGTAGAAGAGTATAGGCCACCCCTTAGCATTCTCTATCCAATACTGTACTGAACAATCCTCTCGAGTTGTTATTCATCCTTTTCATATCTGCTACCAATTCTCGATGCAGTGTGTTCTTTAACTTTTCTTTTTTCGTTTCTTCTCAGGATTCCAAGTTAGGACTTGCCTCGTGATGTAGTTTGATGATTTTCGTAATGTATGTCCTATTCACTTTTAACATCTTTTGTTATCTATTACCAGCTGGCGAAATAACTATCCAGTAAGCCCGGAATGAAAATTATTTTCCACCTAACTTTCTGATGTCATTATTAGTTGAGATAATAATTATCTGGCCGTTGATATTCAGATTCAAATTTTGTCCAGTTTTGTTGTACATCAAATAAACGTCTACATGAAGTTGGTGTTGACGATGTTGTTCAGAAGAACAATAAAAGTTCCATGATCAAACCATCCAACCCAACGAACAAAACTCCATCAAACCACACATATACATACTACTTTTAAGTGAATAAATATAAATAAATATACCCTGTCGACTACCTCCAACTACCATCTAATCTTACAATAGTGCACGCAGTGTCGAGTCACCTAGACTGGTAGCCACATTGCGATATCGTCGATCGCATTCGGTCTGCACTAATAAGGACTAGGCACGCATGACATTGATCACCACCCAGTGATCAATCAATTGTGATTACATCTCAGTCCTACAGGAGGTCGGTCACGGCTCGCCTAGCTCAGTGTTAACGTCTCTGACTGTGAAGCTGGGTGACACAAGATCGAATTCGCCAGCGAGCACCAATTCCCTCAAGATTACAGGTACACCTTGCTGACGAGTGTCAAGTAGCACGAAAACCAGGTCCAGGATTTTTTGTCGACTACCTCCAACTACTATCTAAATATACCCTTTTTATTTATTTCTAGATGAATAATCATATACGTGAGAAAAATGATTTATTAGAAAAATATGAAAATTTTAAAGAAAAATCTCAAACAGATTGTACAAATATGAAAGAAACATATTTATGTCAAATAGAAGATCTTCAAAAGAAATTACGTTGGTATATTGAAAATCAATCAATAATCATTAAAGATTCAAAGAAATTACAAAATCAAGTAGATTGAAATAAATTTATTTCTATGTGGAATAAATTGTTTAAAGAGAATTTGTATCGTATATTGATTTTTTGGATAAACAACTATCATGTACTTGTTAATGATTAGAGTTGGAAAGTATTTGTGGTGGTCGGTATTCAATATAATCCTTAAACTTCATATACACTTCGTCTTGATAACCGTCATTAGATAACATTCCAACGGTTTATTAATCAGAAGGCGAATACGAAGCGTTGATTATGTTTATTATGGAACCACAGTCACAGATATCCAAAATTACAGGTGCGTCAAACAAGTATGAAAGAGTTGTGCCGAAGGGCAAGCAGGTAAGCGAGTGAGTCAGCGAATATGAGTACGAGTAAGCGAGTACAGTAAAGCGAGAGAGAGCAATGAACATGAATAACATGGACATATATATACATAGTGAAATGAATGGATCATCAAATCAATTAAGCGGTTAGTAGTAAGGCTAGCAGCGTGAATAAATGTGTAGGCAGTAAGCAATGCTCAAGCATACATGTTCATACATTCGCAACAATAATAAAGATACAATGATATAGATGAGTTGTTGTTTTACGGATGACTCAGTTCGTTAATAAGTTAACAAAATGACTTAACCGAATGTGAACCAACTCAATTGCGCGTGAGTTGCTATATATTCTTTGATGACAAGTTATCTTCAATGAAGTTCCAGTTGACAAATGAAGGCATCATATTGATTATCGATGAAGTTCAACAATATGTCGAATGTGAAACTGTTATCAATGAAATCAAATATAAGTTGATAGATGCCGATTGAGGAATCTAAAGAGGATCTATTTATTATGTAATCTGCCGATCTTTGTTTTGGGTCCTGTGTACACGACACTGAGGAATTCTATATTAGGAAAAAACAATTTCGAAATTCTTCATGATTTTTCTTAAAATTGACCTTCTGGTCGAATTACCTGTTTTAATAATATGCTAATCTTCCAGGTTTTCTATGGTGGTCTAGCTTCAAATGATTCATGATCTCAACAAATGAAATTACTATAATATCCACAAAAACCAATTCTGATATTAATCAATATATGCTCACTAGTGACTAGCTTCAACAGGTATATTCTGGAGTTCTAGTGAGAAGCAGTGACCAGTGGAGTCCAACGTGGTCTGTTGTGAGATAGTAACTCACTGATGACAATGATGGATGTGTCGCTCAATTTCGTGTATTGGCTGAAGTTAGACAATAACACTGTTGGATGCCGGCCGGCTCAGTGGTCTAGTGGTTAAGCGCTCACTCACAAAACTGATAATTCCTGGGTTTTAATCTTTTTTGTGGGGGATCGTGCATGCTCACTGCTGAGGAGTCCCATAAGCATACATATCAGATGACTTGATGCGGTTGAGTGGGTCTCGAATTGGAACCTGAGTTGATTAAAGATAAAACAGAATGAGTAATCAGTCCGATCTCCGTCGACTGGCTTGGTTGGCAGCAAAGTTGCCCCAACTGTCCACCAGCTCTATGAGGATTCCCCAGGTCGTAGTTTTCTACTTTTAATTAAGCGTTATTTAAATATTGCAATAAATTCAATTAATATGGTGAGGTTAAACACTAGTTTAAATGTTGTAGCCATTTAAGTAATGGTTTGAGGTCAAACAAAAGTTAGTTAATTATCTTGACTTGCAATACTTCTCAATAATTGTCTCTTGTTCTTTTTCGGGTATAGGCTAGAGAACTGGAAAAATTGCAAGCAGAATTATCATATTTTAAAAGTAAACAAGTTTCTGGTCCCAAGTCAAATGAATCAAAACAGTCACATAACAGTAAGGTAGGTCAGATTAATTTTTTCTAACTATGAATTTAAAGTACAACTTACTAAAGCGACTTTCTTGCATAGACTTTGAATAAAATTGGACAGAATAAATCGGAAGTCGTAAGATATAATGATGTGATATAGCACATATTCTTGCAATTTGAAAGGAATCTGTCTTTCAGAAGAGTTCTGTGTGTGGACAATTGATTTTCCCAGAGCGAAAGGGAAGAATATCCAAGTCCCTTCGAATGAATCTAATGTTTGACTTTAATACTGGGAAAATGATGAACAATCATTTGTGCATAGAAACCAGTTTTTTTATAATTATTGGGTTTATGACTATGCACGTTGCTGCAATGTCTCATAGGATAAGGAAACAGCCATTCAATACTTTCTATCTTTTTAATGGTTGTCCAACGTAAGTCAATTTGTGATGTGAACTTCGAATATAAAAATTTCTACAGCATAAGATAATACATCACGAAAATTATCACTTTCATACACACAGTTCCCTTTATCGTTTTGAAAAGAGCAAGAACAAACATTCTAGCAGAATGGTATGAATTCATTTTATTTCGTTGGGTTTCGTCAGCTGCTCACAACCTGTGATATTTAAAATTATAGGACTCTAAACAGTGCAATTACTAAATATCTCCTTGATACAGAACATCAGATGGATACCTTGTAATTATTCGAGGTGATTAGTGAACAGTCAATCTCCAGTCTTCTGACGCCGTTGCTATCAGGCATCAGAAACCTGACTTATGTGTTCAAAAGGAGATGGTTATTAATCTTCCCTTGCCTTAGTGATAAATATTTCTTCATTGCATCTCAAAATGTTTTTTTTTCTTTTTCTTTAAACTCTTTCTTGTATTTATTACATCATTGAGTTTTATTTCAACTATCTTCCAAATTAATAATCTTATTTTATCAACTGAACTCTACTCATTTTATTCCTATCAACGTTTGCTCATTATGTAATCACTTGTTTCTGGCCCTTTGAATTGTTGTCGCAATCAATGTTGACGAATATTTTTTCACATAAGGTATATATTTACAATATTCAGTCTATGAAATTTATTTACACCCTTGATATACTATACTAACATGTCTTCAATATAACTTCCAACTAAACCCTTTCGTGCAAGTAATTTAAGCCCATTATGTAATTATGACTTTAAATATCACAGATTGTAAACAGCTGACGAAAACCTACGAAATAAAATGAATTCATGCTATTCTGCTAGAATCTTTGTTTATGCTCTTTTCAAAATTATCACTTTATTGCCAGTTTGAAGTAAAAGAAAATGAACGTTTTACACAATGTTATCAATACTCTATTTTCAAAAGGACTATAGTCAGTTTCTTCTTTTTTCAAGTTTGCATCACGAACTGCTCTTAGCTAGATAATCATTGAGAACTAGGAAGCATTAGATGGTTAGTTTGTCTTAATATTGAACAGCAGTACGGATGCAGAACTTCTTCAGGGATTAAATCCAATTTTATACTTTGGTCAACCTCGGGCTCAAGAAATCAGTAATCATCACAATTATGAGGTAATCCAAATTGACATATTCTCGGTTTCCACAACTTTACCAGTATAGGGTTGTGGAGATTAATAGGTTTTTGATTGAGACCATTTATCGATTGATGTTAGACCACCGTGGAAAACCTGGGAGCACTGAACGGCCGTTTCGTTCTGTTGTGGGACTCCTCATCCCCACTCGGGGAATTCGAACCCAGGGTCTCCGGTCTTACGCGCAAACGCTTAACCACTACACCACTGAGTCGGCATCCAACGATGTTGGTGTCTAACATCAACCAATCCACCAGATTGTGCGACCGTCTCCCATTGCACTGAAGTAGATACCTGTCTCTATCCGACATGGATTAGCTCCACTGGTCACGGCTTCTTACTAGAACTCCAAAAAATCCCTCACGAGGCTTGTCACTAGTGAGCGCATGGTAACACCGTTGTTTGCTGGCTCAATGGTCTAGAGGTTAGGCGCTCGCGCGCGAGACTGATAGTTCGTGGGTTCAAATCTCGTGAGACGGGATCGTGGATGCACTCTACTGAGGAGTCCCACAATAGGACGAAACGGCCGTTCAGTGCTTCCAGGTTTACAATAGTGGTCTAATTGCACAACTTTAATTTGATTCATTTATTATAATTAGCAATCATACATAATTGATATAATTTTTATATAATACGTTATCTTTGAGTAGACAAATGATCTGATTGATTTTATATCTCAGTATACCATGCAATCGTAATCTTCATAAGATCATTCATTTTATGTAGTGTGTTTTCCAATTTAATATGTTGTTGAGTTGAAACTTTATTGAATAGTGTCATAGAACGAAATGTAATATATTGTATTTAGTCATTCACATAAAAACATTGTAGTAGTATCATTAACAGTATTTGCCTTGATAAATATTACCGTTTGAAACATATAGTTCTTCATACAACTAACTGATCAATTAGATTCATTTGTATCCTAATAATGTTAATTTGTTACAATGAATTAATTAATCAATTATTTATTGTTTCAACCATATCAAAGTGTTTTATTATCTATCCACCCCCTCTTTTCAATTAGTTACTATGATTGTTTCAATCCCTGATACCAATAAAAATAAAAAAATAAATCTTATAGTAACGGTTAAATTAACTATTTCGATCAATATTGTTTATTCAAGTGTAAATTGATCATATAACAACAAAAATGTGACATCGTTTCTTTTATTTTCATCCTGACAACAACAAATCAGTTAATTGAATATTGAATTTTCTTTCTCTCTTTGTTTATATTTATGAACAAATATATTTTTGTTTCTTTACTTCTTATTTCCTACTTTCTGGTCGTTTTTTCTCTGTTTTCATTTTCGATAAAAACGATTTATCTATTGACTAGTAACTGAAATGAGACTATAATTTATGGATAACTTTTTGAGCAATGCTGAAATGACCTTGAGAGGGTTCACTCAATAACTAGGACTAAATGAAGATGATAAACCTGTGTGAAGAATTAAAATTACGCTTTACAGTTGATTGTCAAGGTTAGGAATTAGATTCGGGATTTTCATCACGAACTGACATCAGCTATAATGCCAAGAATCTATTTAGCCAAATGGATGAATGAATTTTGCATCATAATCTAAGGCCTGTTATCTTTTACCTGATTGGGGCGTCCATAAATTATAGTCTCGCCGTAGCTGATTCTTTTTCATTTAATTATGAAGACATCAGTATCAAACCTCATGCTATGAACTCGTTAAATTTATTTGAAATTTGATTCGTTTCGTTTTATTGAGTAGTGTAGTGAACGAGAACACAATCGGATGTATTGGAATGAGGAATTACAGGATCTCTTAGTGAAATCTGAGAACCATACAGTAAATACTTTATTTGTAAAGTGTCAATCAATTGTCTCAGACTTTATTGTTTCTTCATTTCCACATCAATCATTCTCTGTTCTCATTCTCTTTTCTTTGATCTTCTTAATCTTCTGCAGCAGGAATTTCACTTTCTATTGGTAATACATACTACTTATATCTGTCTAGATCAGTGGCATACACCACAGTAGGAAAATGACACATGTCTGCCAGTGTATAACTGTAGAAAGTTTTATACTCTTAAAATAATTCACTTTGAATTTATTTATTTACGGGGAACTTACTTACATCTGTTACTCATGGAAAAGCATAGGCCCCCCACCAGCATTCTCTATCGACCTCTGTCCTGGACAATCCTTTCCATGTCTGCTTCGAATTCCCAACATGGTGTGTTCTTTGGTCTTCCTCTTTTTCGTATTCCTCCAGGAATCCAAGTTAGCGTTTGCCTCATGATACATTTAGAAGATATCTAAAATGCATGTCTTATCCACCTCAAACGTCGTTTATTAGGAAATTGATTAGAATTTGTTCATGAAAGATTTAAGTGGTCATAATCATCTAATTAATCAATATGTGCAAGGTATAAAGATGAGTTTTAGACATTTTTAAATTAACTGTGATGAATTATAGACTACTGTTAGCTAATATGAAAACAATTATTGTAACCAAATAGTTTTCTGAGGGGAAAAACAACAGTATTACAATAATGTTGTGTTGTATGCTACTTATGTCGACATACTTAAATAGTATGTAACACAGTCTGAAGTGGAATGCATGTCAGCAGATGGTTAAGAAAATCGAGTTGGAGAAAACAGAAAAGAGAATAGAAAGGAATCGAGTATTGGAAGAATCATACAGAATGTGAAGGATAATTGATAGAAGATTTGAAAATGAAGTATTAATGTATGGTTCTCATATCTTACGAAGGTATTCAATAATTTCGTATTAAATAATAAATTGCTTGTCCTCATCTAAGGTGTTGTTCACTACAATGTTACATAATTATCCTACTGACGTTTCCCACAGGTCATTCTGTCTGTAGACCGTGAAAACATTAATAAATAAATTTGTTTAGGGGTTGTGGAGATTGTTAAGTTTTTGATTGAGATCATGAACCGATTGATGTTAGACCAACATTGAAAACCTGGAAGCAATAGACGGCCGTTTCGTCCTATTGTGGGACTTCTCAGCGGTGCGCGAGCGGGATCGTAGATGAGCAATGCTGAAGAGTCCCACAATAGGACGAAACAGCCGTCTATTGCTTCCAGGTTTTCAATGTTGGTCTAACATCAATCGTTTCATGATCTCAATCAAAAAAGAATAAATATGTCCATATAATAATCATAGAAAATGTGTCATCTCAAGGTTGTATTAGGAAGCAAATAATTTAGTGTTAAAGGTTGATTTTTCTGTTCCATTTAAGTTAGATAAATTTAGATAATTCCGACATTTCGTCCAGCAAACTTGTCTGAACTTCTTCAAGGTAATAACCAAAATCATCAACTCTGTTTGTTTCATTCCTGTCTTGTACTTTTATCCAGTTAACTCACATACGGAGATTTAAAAGTTGTTTATTGAATTCATTCAAATTATTGTTTTCAATTCTTAAAAGCAGTACAATGTTTATCTATGAAGTTTGAATTGTATGTCTGTAAGATATAAACATATACATATATTACGGTGAGACTATAATTTGAGGACGAACCAATGATATATAAAATAAAAGCTCTTGGATTTTAGAGCGAAATTCATTCATACATTTGGCTAAATAGCGTCTTGGCATTATAGCTGATGTCACTTGGCGATGAAAACTCTAAGTCTAATTCTAAACCGCAATCATCAACTGTAAATTTTAATTCTAATTCCTCACACTGGTTTCTAACCCTCATTTAATCCTAGTTAGTATGTGGATCTTCTTAAAGTCACTTTAGCATCGCTCAAAGGTCGTTCATGAATCATAGTCTCACTATATATTGTACCATCTTTTTACCGTAGTTCTAATTAAGTGTTATGATAATCTAGGATTTTCTGTCCATTGTTAATGTTCTCACTCTTTAGATTATATTTCAGACTTCGTTAATTATTTTACTTCCGATTGTTTTCGCTATAATTCCATTGAATTTCCCCCTTCACTAATGAATGAATTATAAGCCAAGATAATTGGTGACTGGCAGTGGAATCCAGGTCTCGAGTGTCATCCCATTTGGGACTCGTCAACTGGATGTACCAGTATTCCAGAATTGATGTTCACCCCGGGACCCGAGCTCAGTACCATTTACTTCAAACGCCATCGCGTTATCCACTTAGGTACTGAGTCTTGATAGCCACTTGCTTATGCAATAAGGGGAAGTTTAAATTCATTTGATATTGTTTACTTGAATCTTCCCATCGATGTTTAGGACTGAAATTGATCAGTCGCTCATTAGCATATGTGCATCCTTCGCACACTGCCTCGATATTGCTTGTGAATTTAAGCAGTATCAAGGCAAGCCGTATAGAATACACTAAGCTGTTTTGTATTAATAAATTAGATGCGGCAGTTATCAATTTCTTAGAAATAGATTTTCTACTCATTTAATTATTTCAATTAAAAATATGATCTCATCTGTACGCTAGGTTGCTTATCACTACTTTACAATATGACTAATATTCGTTACGTAACGTCACTAATACTGTTAGGATAAACTGAAAGTCTTCGACGTGGCATCAATTACTTCCATATTACAGATGATATTGATGAGAGCCAGTAGGTTGGAAGTCTAGACTGTGAGAGTTTCGTCTTTTGGCTGTATTTACCTAAAAGTTAATTATACCATTGAAGTGGTCTGATGTACCATTCAAAATTTACCATATTGTAATAATGATCATAAAGTTAAATGTTTGACACTATTTCCCAATTTTTTCAGTTCAACACTATTGAAATTATCATCATAATAAATAATACTGTCTGTTATAATTTGGATTAGCTGATTAGAGAAGGATAAAAAATCAACTGGATGGGTAAATTAGTGGTTAATGTACTAATTATTCAATCACTGAATGCGTGGTTCAAACCCCACTTTCCGGTACTTCAGTCACGGTAATCGTGCAGCTTCATTAGCACTCATACAAAACGTGTGCCCCGAAAAAGAATAAACAATCTTACATTTGGAAAACGTATGGTTGTCAAAATGGTGGCTAACTTTACCATTGAAATGAAATTGAAATCTACCTAGCAATGGAATAAAACAATACACTTTAAGATAGATGACAAATAGCTCGATTTATCAGCAGCCGTGTGTTATGAATGTGTTCAGAGTAATGCTGTCTAACATGGTGAATAAAAAACACGGATATGCTAAAAGTTATAACTTCAAACGAAATCATGAACTGTCAGTATGTGGTTTTGTTGGATATTGGATTTCATTATAACCATGGTCTGATCTGAGTTAGACAACCATTGAAAACACGTAAGCATTGGACGACTGCTTTGATTTAATTTGACACTCTTCACCAGTTCACATCCACGACCACACAAGCAGTAATCGAATTCAAAACCTATCTCGCTCACGGACGCTTAAATTCTAGAGTACTTAGCTGAAATCCAACAGTGTTAACGTTCAACTTTAATTTAATCCACGACATCGCTCGGTTAACTTCTTAGATTGATTGAAGTTGGACATTACCACTGTTAGATATCAGCCTAGTGCCCTATAGGTTGGGCGTCTATGCGTGAGATCGAAGATTTTGGGTTCGATTACTGCTTGTGTGGTCGTTGATGTTGACTGGTGAAGAGTGTCAAATTAAATCGAAGCAGTTGTCCAGTGCTTACGTGTTTTCAATGGTTGTCTAACGTGGATCAGATCATGGTTTCAATGAAATCTTGAGTGAAAAGTACATTAATTAACATTGTACCAACCCACTAAATAAATGGAGAATTCCTGGATATGACGCATACTGAACAATAAAAGCGGTAATGATGATCTTAGTCATAATAAAGATTACAATGAGATGGTGGAGAAGATTTGTAGCTCAGAAGGATAATTTTGATGGAGTTTTGTTCTCTGTGCTGAATAGTTCGGTCGTGGAGCTTTCATCGTTCTTCTGAACAATAAGAGGTTTAACGCCAACAAGAACCAATCAACATCGAGGTCTACATGACAAGCTGTGAACCATGTCAAGAAATTCGAACACTTCACTTTTACCTGTAGTTTATGCTGATGATGTCGTTCAGAAGAACGATGAAAGCTTCACGGCCAAACCATCCAGCTCAAAGAACATTCTCTTGCTAAAATCAGTCACTATACATTTACTTGTTATTTCAATGTTACCCTTTTTTCTCGTTATTCCTAATTTTATTTTAAATAATTAAAGGATTTATCAAATGAAAGTGAACAAGCATTTCTTCTTCAAAGAATTAAATTTCTTGAATCAGAATTAGATAGAGCTCATGAAAATGAGAAACGAGCTATTCGTGCACTTCAGCAACAATATGAACGAGTTAAATTACAGGTAATTGATTCATTAGTGTTATTCACCGTTTTTTTCTTGTTTTATTAAAATGTAACGTTCAATCAATGTTCAAGAGTTAGTGGTGTTAAATGGTTCAAGGTCGATGGCAGGAAGAATTACCTCACCTAAGTTTTGTACTACATGGAACTCATCAACAAGACGTACTTGGAATTTTGGGAAAACTGATGGTTTCAATGGGATTCAGATCACAGTTATTCAGGTTCGCCGTCCGAATCGCTGTCGCTGTGCTGTTTAGGCGTGAGTTGGCCACTTATGTAACCACTGAGTAGTGGTCAATAAATACCATGTTTCCTTAGTCCCAGTGCCGATTGAGCTCTATCGATCAAGCTCGCCTTTCAAGTTGAAAAAATATTACTTTTTCTGATTCTCGAACATTACTATTATAAATTATCCCTATCATGTAATATTCCAGATCATCAACTAAATATTAGAGGTTAAGGGTGAACATCAAATAAATAAGACAAGGTTTTTGAGCTGATTATTGCGCAACCATCCGCTTAGTTACTAATAAACCATACCCATTTACAATATTAGTCTAGGTAATGAAGCAAATATGACTAATATGTCCCATATTTCAGCTTTTGTCTGTATTATCAAATACTTTTATACCAAGAGAGATTTAGTTGAGTCAAGGAAAAACAAGGGAACTTTTGAACATTTTAACTATTCTTGAACTAAATCATATGATTATACCAATTGCGATAACACATCTACAAGTCATAGGAACAATTCATCTAACAATAAAACATACTAAGTTACTTAGTATTAGGCTGGATTGAAACATAATCGATAAAATTCGCTCACCACTGAAAACTAGACGAGTACGAATCTCACTGCTACAGAAGATAATTCTGTCAATGCGATCAGTGGATTACTCAGTTTTCCATTGAAATCACAAACAGGTCTAAGTTAGACCTGGGAGCACTAACAGCTGTTTTGTCCTAGCATGGGATTCCTCAGTAGTGCGAGTCCATGAACCCGGGAGCAAGAATCGAACCTAGGGTCTTTGATATCGCTTACAAACGTTTTATCTCTAAACCGCTTAGCCGGGATTTAGTAGTCTCCAAGTCTAATTTCAGTCAATTTAGATAGTAATGATAATTGGAGGCACATATCATCTAACTAAATTCTTCACATGATCTTTTACTTTTTCTGACTGTCTGTCACTACATTTGGTTCACTAATTTAATGTGTACTTTAAGGTCACCCCCGTTACTTCGTATACTGAGTTATACTACTTCAAGATGCTCTATTTAAATATCAGGTTTTTCCCACATTATATGTTTATCTGTATTGGCGGCAAATGCTTGGGGTTTTTCGTCCCAGCTGCTGTCATCGTATCCCCAATTAACCCGTTTCTATTAGAGTAATTTAATCATTCCTCAATTCTCAAGTGTATAAGGCGACAGGCAACTAAAACGTAATCGTTTTTATCAAGCATTAACATAATCATAAACTGATATGTTCAGGAGTAAAATGACTGACTATGACACTCGATTGTATGATTCAAATATCACGGTGAATAAACGTATTTTCATGAATCCATTTAGAGATTTTTGACCACAGTTAGTCAACGCAGAATCTAGATTCATAGTATTCGGCCTAATCACCTAAGATCACTGTTTATACGTAACTTATGCTTTAGGAAAAAAAAAGGGAAAAGCACAATGAACTGTTACCATTAAAGAGTTTTCAAAACCTTTTGTATTTGAATCAGCTGAACAAACTTAGAAGACAGATAGAATTACTAAGATACATTACAGAAACCTATAAAATTCTCATATTTTAAATTATATACAGTAGAATTTACTATGTATAAATCCCTGTACTGGAATTTTTGGCACTAATTAAGTACAATCACTAATTATTTAAACTGATATAGATGTAAGGGAACTCAAACCTACAAATGAAAAGTTTTAAATCATGACCTTTTACTAACATTCTACTCTTTGTACACTTTATACACATATTGTCATTAAAAACACACATACTACTCAATTATCAAAAGTAGTAGTAGTCAACTTATTTAGTTTGTAACATAATAAAGCCTATGTTTCATTTGATTCGATTTTACTGGATTTATTTATTTATCTATTTTAACACATAGATATTGGTACAAGGAAGCACCAAATACATATGCGCCACACAAATCTTATTCGATATGTGTGAGGTCTGTGATACTGCCAGGGTGACCAAACCGAAGCAGGCGGTTTTCTTAGGGGTCCACTCCCCGAGCCTTCGACCTGAAGGTCTAATCCACAAGGCAGTGGAGCATCGTAAGGAGATGCAGTCCCATGGAAGCCGGTGACCAACGATTGGTTCATATACCATTTGTTCCCTCAGGATACTAGAGCCCATGTGCACCATTGGTTTGGGATCCGGTTAAAGCGCAGGACATTCGCTTTTCGTCCTCTCAATTTCGTAAGCAACAGTAATGTCACGAGAAGGGAGTGAGTAGGACTTCCCTGGCAGAGGCTATATACGCGTGGCCATGTTAGAGCAAATCGAGAGGGAGAGCGGACTCTTCGCACTCTCGGCCGTACCAGGGCATTTGAGGGCTGGATACAGAAACAATCGTTAATACTGGCATTTTTGAACCCGATTTTTTGGTACGGTCATAAGTTCAAGAACAACTGATTTCTTCATTTCCAATAAGATCATTATTAGAACAAATATGTTTTTCAACAACAAACAAAGTTAATGAACATAGAAATATTTCCGTAAAATTTTTATAAAACAGGATACTGATTTCAGAATAAGAAATGTTTATGATGGTTTTCATATTAAACTGTTTAAAAACATATTGGAATAAATGGATATCATGCCCCCAAATGACCTAGTACGGCCGAGAGTGGGGGAGAGTAAGTTATCTTTCTCTCTCTCTCTCTCCCGAAATGCTGTCATATGGCCACGCGTATACAGCCTGTGTCAAGGAAGTCCTATTCATTGCCTTCTGACGGTTGGGGAGGTTGTTCATGAAATTGAGAAGACGAAAAGCGAGTGTCCGGCGATCCAACCAGCTTAGTGCATACAGAACATTTACTTAGAGGAGTTTAAAACCCTGATTTCAATCCAATGGTGCACATGGGCTCCAGTATCCTGAGAAAAAAATGACTATCCAAATTTCAGAGGCTCAGTGATTGATGAGTAGCAAACTTGAGGCGAAAGATAATAGGTTCAACTCGCACTATGAACATCAACACTAGGGTACAGGTATATCAGGTTTGAGAAGTCCAAATAAGACTCAACTCGAGTGTCGAATTCCATTACTACCCATATACTAAGTATAAATATTCTGTCTCTTCATAATGAAAGGAAAAGGCAAGAAAAAATCAACTTTGTAAATGTCACACCTCACCTTACCAAATGGATCACCATCTCTTCCACTAAAACCTTCTGCAGTAGAAAGCTAAAACATCAAAAATTCGTTAAAAAATGATGTATGTGACTGGCATCCAGCAGTTGTCTCTTCGTTTCTGCAGTCACTTATAGAGTTAATAACACCCTTTTAGATCCCTCAAGGAATATCTTTTCACGATGTGGGGAACCGATAATTAGCAACAACTCTCATCTCTTTAACAACACACAAAATACTAAAACTCGTCATTATATTTTTGTTCTTTACTGTTAATAGTACCTTTGTCCTTTCAAAGTTTTTGTTGTTCATGTATGTGAATTAAAACTCATCGTTGTAATATGGTGTGACAATTTAAACTGACTGTTCATCTTTACTACATCCTACGTCAGTTGTGATTTACTGACTGAAATCCATTATAGATTTGAGTATTTGGTTTTACACTTTTCCGCCATTTAAAACGAAATAGGTGAGAACTATTCAATTCTATAATGTAATAGTTAAAATTCAAGTGATATAACCAATAAATTACAGTTTGATTCAATTATTCTATTTAATCTTTGATGGCTTCATATCACCCCACAACTCTATGATAATGACAGTTTGATAAATATGTCTTTCAAACATTTTTAAGGAACATTTAGTCAACTTAAAATCTCCAAAGTATTCTGAGCATTTATATTCTATCGAATTATGTTAAATATTTAGTTTTATAATAAAAAACGTTATCCACTAACCGAATAACGTTTTTGGAAACTATGCAAATAATTCTTCTGAATTCAGGGCAGAGCGTAAAGAGGAACTAGCGGATAGTAGCCCCCAAATGCCCTGGTACGGCCGAGAGTGCGAAGAGTCCGCTCTCCCTCTCGATTTGCTCTAACATGGCCACGCGTATATAGCCTCTGCCAGGGAAGTCCTACTCACTCCTTCTCGTGACATTACTGTTGCTTACGAAATTGAGAGGATGAAAAGCGAATGTCCTGCGCTTTAACCGGATCCCAAACCAATGGTGCACATGGGCTCTAGTATCCTGAGGGAACAAATGGTATATGAACCAATCGTTGGTCACCGGCTTCCATGGGACTGCATCTCCTTACGATGCTCCACTGCCTTGTGGATTAGACCTTCAGGTCGAAGGCTCGGGGAGTGGACCCCTAAGAAAACCGCCTGCTTCGGTTTGGTCACCCTGGCAGTATCACAGACCTCACACATATCGAATAAGATTTGTGTGGCGCATATGTATTTGGTGCTTCCTTGTACCAATATCTATGTGTTAAAATGAATAATAAAATAAGGAACCTCTTGCCGGTTCAATGTTAATGATGCTGGTCGAGCGAGTAATTAGCTAAGTCATCGACAATAAGTTATAGAGTAAATAGTAAACACGAAATAGAACTAGTTGGAATTAGAATTTTGTGTATTGACTTAGTCCATGAGACACTGATCAACGGTTCCCGAGACAACAAAGTCATTTTGATTAAATATAACACTGATAAATTTTAAACTATTTGAACTTCTAACAGGAATAAATAACATAATTGTTTTCTAGTCTTTAAAGCTGATTGAGTTCTGTTAATCAAATTGGAATTTAATATCAGAAGTCAACTGACTCATGATCTCAACTATTAAATTACTACAATCTCCAGAAAACCCATTCTAATACTAATCAACATATGCTCACTAGTAACTGGCTTCAAGAGGGATATCCTAGAGTTCTAGTGAGAAGCATTGACCAGCGGAGATCAACTGGGTCTGTTGTGAGATAGTAACTCACTGATGACAATCTTTGATGTGTCGCTCAATTTTATGGATTTGTTGAAGTTAGTCATTAACACCGTTGAATGCCGTCCGGCTCAGTGGTCTAGTGGTTACACGCTTACGCGCGAGACTGATAGGTCTTGGGTTCGAATCTCTTTCGTGGGGGATCGTGGATGAGCAACGCTGAAGAGTCCCATAGTAGGACAAAACGACCGTCCAGTAGTCCCAGTTTTTCCATGGTGGTCTAGTTTGAATTGACTCATGATCTCAACTACTGAAAATGGAATTTGATAATTATTCTTAATGATCCAATATAAATATAACTTGATCAGCAACAATAATTACTACTAATTATTATAAATATCTCAACTTTATAGAATATGAGATGGACCCTGAATAACTTTTAGGTAACATTTCTTCCTTTGAAACTGTTACATAGCGATAAGAATGATGAATGATAAATTCTGAGACCCATTTATACGGACCAATACTATACCTATATTTTTGTCGTTTAATTGTCAAGTAACTAAACTATTCATATTTGTGTCCCTTTATTATGAGCTTTATTTTGACCTATGAACTATTATTATACGATTTACCATTACTGAGTTATACACAGTCTATCAATTACTATTTCCCATATTCACAGCCACATTTGGCTAAAACTTGTACAAATTTTATTTTGTATTTTATGGTACGATGTAATCTGTTTAGTTTGTGTATAAACCCACTATGTTTGAAATACATGATTCATATGGAGGAGGCTGAGATTGATGTTCTGGACTTAACAGGCAGGGCTAGACATGAAGAAGGACTAATAAACCCTCTAGACTTCTCGTATAGGTTTTATGCTTCATTAGTTCGGTTGACAAATCACTATTCAATAATTGGCTGTATCATTACGTTATAGATTGTTTAGGGCACAAACCCATAGATTATAACAGAAATTATATAAGTAAGTTTAGTCCCGTGACATGTCAAATGATGCATTTGATGTTTGAGTTTTCTTTCATTAAATCACTTAATTCTAACAAATGTTATCATTTATTTCTTATATATCTCCATAGTATGAAGATCGTATACAATCATTAGAATCATATATCAACTCATATTGTATTCATAATCAAACTTATTCACCTTATTATTATCTAATGATGAAAATTCTATTTTTTTAACATCAAATAATTCAAAAAATCCAGAAATTTTACAAAAATCATTAAAACAATTAAAAAATTCTAATCAATCAATAATTCTTTCAAATTTATTAGAGGATTTACGCGGTCAAATAACCAATTTAAAAATACAATTAAAACAACGACAAAAAACAATTGAACAAATGAAACATTTTGCACAATTGAATAGTAACCATTTAAAGGACAATAATAAAATCAAGTCTTCAATACATAAAAATAAACAATTTCATTATCCACATTTATATGAAATTCAATCTAGACAAATAAATAAGATTAATGATAAGATAAATTTGAGAAAAAATGTAAGTTGTTCTCATCTAAGTAATTGTGATTGCCTATTGAAATGAGTCGTTGTTTTTTGAACAGACAGTTGTGGAACATTCATTGTTCTTTTTCTGAATGATATTAGAAGGAGAACAATGAAAACTCTATGATCAATTCATCTAGATGAAAGAATACAATTTCTTTGAAATCATCTACTTGAGCTATGAATTATCTCTGTTGGCAGTTGTTATTTTTTTTAAGTAGTAGGTAATCCATAGCACTTACTTACTTACTTACGTTTGTTACTTCGAATAGAGTATAGGTCGCCGATCAGCATTCTCCAACTCAATCTGTCCTGGAACTTCCTTTCTAGTTCTATCTAATTATTGTTCATTCCTCTCATGTCTGTCTGCCTCCATTTCTCGAAGTAATATGTTCGTTGGTGTTTCTCTTGTTCTCCTTTGACCTTGGGGAATTACAAATGAGAGCTTAACTTGTGACACAGTTGAGTGATTTCCTCAATGTATGTCCTGTCCTCTTCCATCGCTTCTTCCTGATTTCTTCTTGCACTGGAATCTGGTTTTTTCCCTCCCACAGTAGGTTGTTGGTGATAGTGTCTGATCAACGGATCCGAAGTATTTTGCGTAGACAACTATTAATAAACACTTGTATCTTCTGGATGATAGTTTTTGTAGTTCTCCAAGTTTCTACCTCATACAGTAGGACTGTCTTGACATTTGTATTGAAAATTCTGACCATGGTGTTGATTGAAAATTGATTTTAGTTTCAGATGTTTTTCAGCTGCAGATATATTGCTCTTGCTTTCTAGCACTAATATGACAATATTAAATGAGTGTTTACGTGTATACCTAATATAAGAGAGAGTAACTCAATACACTGATATAATATCAGTCACAAATATTCAATACTTAATATTTAAAATAAACTCATTATCGGAAGAGAAAAAAGATAGGTTATACTTTCAGGTGTTCGCAGTAATTTTATAATACCATTGATTAGGAGATTTTTTAATGTTATGGTATGGTTGAAGATGGGGAGAGTCAGCTCTCTCTCTCTTTCGAAATGCTCTCATATGGCCACGCGTATACAGCCTCTGTCAAGGAAGTCCTATTCATTGCCTTCTCGCGGTTGGGGCGGTTGTTCATGAAATCAAGAGGACGAAAAGTGAATATCCGGCGATTTAACCAGGTTTGTGGATACAGAACATTTATTTAGAGGAGTTTTAAAACCCTGATTTCAATCCAATGGTGCACATGGGCTTCAGGATCCTGAGAGAACAAATGATGTACGAACTGATTGTTGGTCACTGGCTACCATGGGACTGCATCTCCCTGCTTCACTGTCTTGTGCATTAGACGTTTAGGTCAAAGTCTCGGGTAGTGGCCCCCTATGGAAACCACCTACTTCGGTCTGGACACCCGGACAGTATTCCAGCCCTCACACAAATCGAGTGATCTTTGTGCGCGAATGTATTTGATGCCTCCTCGTACCAATGTTTATGTGTTTAAGTAGATAAATAAATCTTTTAATGTGAAACAGTATCTATGTATGAGTATGATGTCAAGTTACTTTGATTTGTTGCCGTATTGTAACATGATCGATAGAATCCAATCAGCACTAAACGATTGGACAAATATAAAGTTCTACTATTAGAATTACTACAATCTCTACATACCCCCTTCGGATAATAATGCACCAAGAAAATGGACGAAGGGCTGCGTAAGATCATGGGTTAATCGAAGTTAAACATTAACGCCTTTCAATGCCGGCTCAGCGCTCTAGAGGTTAAGTGTTCCCGAGCGAGATCGAAAGTACTGGGTTCGAGTCTCAATTTGCGATCGTGATTGGGCACTGCCGAGGAGTTTCAAACTAAGAAAAAACAGCTGTCCAGTGTTTTCAGGTTCTCAATAGTGGTCTTGCTTAGATCGACTCATTAATTCAACTATTAAATTTACTACAGTCTTTATAAACCCCCATTCTGAAAATATAAAATTGATCACTATTCCGAGCTCAATTAGTTGCAAGTTAATTTTAAAGAGAATAAGATTTTTACAGACGTTTATTAATTTCAGTCCAATGGAATGATTCAGTTAAGTAGTAAGATTGTATTGTTCTAATCGAAATCACTTGTTGTGATGAAATATATATTTTATCTTGTAAAAAACCTATTCAACAAATGAAATAATACTCTGTATATATTTGAGATAGCTACATAACCACTGTCGTGTTAGTTTGACTCATCAACCATGTACATGCTAGTACACTAGGGTTTAGAGTTAAAATTAGTTTTATGATCCTGGTAGTGAAACTAAAGTGAGTGTAGTGAGGTTTACAATTGTACTTCACTGTTTGAGAATTGTATGGATTCTTTACCAAATCAGTTTCTTAATTGAATTTATAATAGAACATCCCCGTAAGAAAGTTCTGTTTCTCCATCACATCTACTATGACATATGGATACTGACAACATTAAGCACTTATCATTTCAGTTATCAATTATTTTACATAAATAAATCCACACAATGTTCTAAGAAAACAAATCAATTGATGAAATAGTGAAACTTCATAAGTTGAGATGGCTGAGACACGTGTTACGTATGCCCAACCACCGACTGCCCCAACGTGCTATGTTTCATGGTAAAGGAGTAGGTTGGAAAAAAGCTAGGGGCGACTAGACCAAAACATGGCAAAAATTCATGAAGTCACTGACAAGTAGACTACGCCATTTTGGTAGGTGTGAACTACCTGGTTGGGATCCGCGAGATGATAGCAACCGATCGTTAGGGACGTTGAATGACATGGCTCAAAATCGTTTGCAATGGCGCAGGTGCATACACTCTTTGTGTTCGCCTAAATTCTAATCTTCTGAAATCTTCATTTCCCTTTTTCCTCTTTCCAAATTTATTTCACTGGATTATACTCTTTGAATGACATCTTCAAACTCTAATGTTTCCGATTACTACTTATACTTTTACTACCTTTACCACTATGTGACTTGAATTGACAATTGTATCTCTGTGCTAATGTAATGTGGTATGGCAACTCGATTTGATTTACGTACATACGAAGTTCTACGTTGTTACTGACTGACTGACTGAGTGAAGAAGACAAGAATTACATGTAATGTGTATGTACAAATTTGTGATACATTTTAATCTGATCGCATAAATTTAATAGTCATAATTTGTGTAAAAATAATCACTAGACGATCTCAAATACAATCACGATGATGGTTATCTGTAACAAGGATACTAAAAAAAACGGAAAAAATATTTTCTACATTCAGTTAAGTAATAAAATAAAAATTGAAGACTGTCAATGTAGGAACAGGGGTAAAGTTTTATGTTTACGGCTTAAACATGTCTTTTTTGTAAAATACTTTCATCACGTTCAAGCTGACAAGTATGATTTGTATATGAGATCACATGTCGTAAAATTGGAATGATTGAAGTGTTTAATTGTTTATCACTGTTGGATAATAATTCATTCCCATAGATTTATCACGACCGAATACCGAGGTTAGGAATAAGGTACTAAGTAAATATGGAAATTCAATTAATAAGGTAGTAAGTCTTCATCAATTTATGTGATCAAGACATATGTAACTTATGCCCAACCACCGCCTACATTGACGATCTCAATGTTATCTGGTTTCGGAGTAGGCTGGAAGAAAGCTAAGGGCGACCAAACAAAGATACAGCATCAGTTCATGAAATCATTGGTAATTGAACTAAGCCATATAGATAGATGTAAACCACCTGGTTGTGATCCTTGTGATTGTTGTAATCAATAATTTGAGACTTTGAATGTCATGACCAGGAATCATTTGTAATGAAGTAGGTACATTAATTCATTGTCTCCCTTTAGAATCTGAGTCCTAAAACCTTATACCTTTTTTTCTTTTTCTCTATCTAATCTTTTCCGCTACTACTGAAACTTTTATTTCTCTGATTACACCGGGATTTCTCTTGGATTGATTTTACCTCTCTGTACTTGTATAGTATAACAACTGGAACGGATGCATGTGTATCAGGTTCTACACTGTGTATGACTGACTGACTGACTGGCATTCCTTTAACGGGGAATAATTCTTACATTAATCATAAAAATGACTGCTTGTCATCATAATTGGTCAGAGTGCAGCAATTTAATTAGAATATTCCATTTGCTTATTTATCAACGATTCATTATTTTTAAATATACAGTTTATGGAATAATTTTAATATTCGTGGTTTAAATTCTGTTTTACATTACTTCTTGATATTGACTCTTTCAGAAAATAATCAGTTCAAATGAGCAAAACAATGAAGATGTTTCCATTAACGATAAAGAATCAATTAGTTTGAAAGAACATAATGCACTCAAAAACTTGTTACAGGTCAGTTTCTGTTGTATATGTATATCCGCTTAATTTATTTAACATACTAGTAATATTACAAGTACACAGATCCTAGCCATGATAGTCTTCACCTAGCAATATGCTCCAGACCAAAATTCAATGACTTTATAGACTGGTATCATGACTTCGTATAACTACACCTATCTTTCTCCCAACCTATTGAGTTTGTTATCAATGACCATGAGTTTGATACTTGAAGGCTTATTATCTGGAGGCAAATGATATGACAAAGTTGTGTAGACCGAAATATGTAGAGTCAGGTATAAACATGCGATCAAGTAGTTTAAAATTGATTACTTTAACCGACGAACTACTCAATCACTACTTAAGATTTTTTTTAGCTAATCAATTTAGAGGGAGGTTGATTATGAATACAGTGGTACTGAGTGCTGTTAGAGGTATGAGGGCGATATCACTTCCCGGTTGCCCACACCGTAGAAAGGTCCTTCTGGAGGTACATGAAAAAGAAATTGGATTAAACGTGGTTTTAGTGACCTGAGAGTGTGACCGCAGTGCCCAAGAGACAACTGCTTGAAGTTGGTCATACACGACCTTTTAGTGGGTAATTTTCGTGTTAGCTCCGTACTTGTTGAGACCTTACCGCCAGAGACGGATATCCGTGAGATAAGGAGAGGTGTGTTTTTTTAGGGTCGACGACTTATAACCGTACCTCTCCTTGTGGGAAGGCAGCATCACTGTTATGCTGGTTGTCTGGAGGAAACACCTTACTGCTGTCACACCTTTGTACAGTCAGCAGTACGACTTTACCCTCAGACCTTGAGTTTGTTGCTTTTAGTCTTTTCGCTCTTCAGCCGACCTATCTGACATGGTAAGACCTTGAGGAACGATTGTTCCAGCCAGTATAGCTCGATTGGTTCATCACGATAGGCAAGCTCGACCACCACGTCAAGCTAGCAACAACGGTCCTTGTATGCAATCTTTCTTTTATATATTACCACCGTTGAATTAAATACTTCTATGAATCCGGTGTTCATCTTGTTGTGTTAATGATGTATGGCAACTTGGACCGATGCACATATGTGCTTGGTCCTATGCTGTAGCTGATTGACTGACGGAACTAATCAATTCAAGAGTCTACTTTACACCAAATAACAGTTGAATGGCATTAAAATATATAACTTTTTCGTGCAAAAATGTTTTATTCTTTCTTTCATGTTCTTTTTCTAGAGTCGTATAACTAAACTTGAAATTGAACTGAAAAAATCACAGGAATCAGTGAAATCTGGAGTAACTTGTGATGCGTCCACAAACACTGAGTTCATTGAAAGAACTGATGATTCATATATCAAAATTCTGGAGGTCTGATATTACATTAATTTTTATCATTAATATTGTTATTGCCTATAATCAGTGTCAGTCGATTAGTCATATTGTTTTAGAGAACCTCAACTATCTTGTCGTATTGGCCCTGGTATCTTCCAGTAAAGGTTTGGATCACGTGAAATTCTCAAATCTACCGCTTTTACTACTTCAACTAGTAATAACAGTAACCAGTAATAAGTAATAGTAATAATAATAATACTGTTGCAGTCACTGTACACATCGTACATCTAAATTTTTTGAGAGTTGAATATGTTTATGATACATTTACTGTATTCCCTATTGAACAAACAGAGGTTACTAGGCTGAGCATTTGTTTGAAAGAAGTTAACACTTTTATTAAAAGTATACTTTAGGGACGAGGTAATCAGAACCAAGAAATCGACTTTTAAGTTCTTGTTCGAACTACAAATATTATGTGTAACGTACAATAGAAATATTTTTGTATACTGCTTAAAATCGTTAATATGATAGAAAAACGTTTTCGCAGACATAGAACAAAACTAATGGCGTTAAAGTGTTAATTGACTAATTCTTTCTATGTAGACTGTAATATGATAGGCAACTTGACACTATCCCGAAATCCTAACCCTAAATCTGTAATTCAGACGGAAACTTTGACTTAGTGACACTTCGCTTTATGATTAAACTATTCATATAGCATCTTTTATATTTTTGAACGAAATTCGTTCGTTTCTATGACTACAGAGTAGTTTTACATGTATCATAATCCTAATCTTAACCTTGAATAATTCACCTCAATTAGAAATAGGGTGGGTACTCTTATAAAATGATCTTGGGTTTTTATAAGGGTTTGGTAATATGGACAGTTATTTATCATTAATAATAGGTAGAAATTGTGTAGGAGGTGTTCAAAAACACGTAAACATCATAGTTGTTGTACCAATGGTATCTGTATTCAAGGGGCACATTGATAATAACTGGATTCAGTTCGGTTTTTACTAAATTGTTCTTCAGTGGTATACTCCATCCTAGGCACTTTTGGTGTACACGTGCATAGACAGAACCGAATATCTATCATACATAGTACTCAGAACGTTGTTCTGTGACTTCGTTTTGTCGGTTTAATGAGGTTAATTCTCCCGTAATTTGTAAGGATGAGGCTAAGAGTATGAACGATACTTTTTTTTTAATTTCTGAAGAAAATCTGAAAGAAAAATGATTTTCCAACAGACGGGCTTTTTTCATTACGGAGAGGTATTTAATTTCGAAATAAAAAATTCGTCATTAACACTGAAAATTACTGTAAATTTATCCCAGATTTTGTGGAGCCACTCATTCAGTCATGATCAACGTAGTTCCTGACACCCATGCGTGTTGGCCTATATATGAACATGACGAGCTTAAATTGTTAAGATGAGTAGCAAACGAACAGAAAAGATATGAGATAAATCGAATTTCACAGATTCAAATCATGAGTCAACTGAAGCTAGACAACCAGGTTTTCCATGTTGATCTAGCTTCAGTTGACTCATGATTTCAATCTGTGAAATTTCTAAAATCTAAACAAACCCCTTCTGATAAATCGAATTGACTAAGCTTTAATTCTAAAAGACATAATAAAAAAGTACCTATGAATGAATACTAAGACTTATTATCTTGAATAAGATAGAGAGTGAATGCTTCTGCACTATTGTGATCGATCCTGAGACATTTCATCTAGAATTTCTAAGCGCTGTTCACGTTAATGTCACAAATTTCAACCAGATAGTCTCTATCCATCAACATGGCTCAGACCAACTGACAGTTAGTCAACTTAATACTGGTGGTTGAAGTAGATCACTGTTATCATGAACATTTTCACATAATACCTGTATAGTATTCAAAGTTTGGTCTTCTACTACTACTATTATTATTATTATCCTTAAACGTCACGTCATATTTCATGTCGCTTATGCTTATTGATCAAAAAATGTAACGAATTTTCCTTAATGAATGAAAGATACGCTCTAGATATTATACATATTTAAACAGTTTACCAAATTATAAGAGTGTGGAATGGACCCAATCAGTTCCTTATTGGTTAATTGGCTTTTTAATTTTTTGCATTATTATTATTATCATAAAACGCTTTTACAAATTATTCAGTTAAATGATATTTCGTAACTTTTTCATCACCCGACCGTTGTTGCTACCTTGACGTGGTGGTCGAGCTTGCCTATCGTGATGAACCAATCGAGCTATACTGGCTGGAACAATCGTTCCTCAAGGTCTTACCATGTCAGATAGGTCGGTTGAAGAGCGAAAAGACTAAAAGCAACAAACTCAAGGTCTGAGGGTAAAGTCGTACTGCTGACTGTACAAAGGTGTGACAGCAGTAAGGTGTTTCCTCCAGACAACCAGCATAACAGTGATGCTGCCTTCCCACAAGGAGGGGTGGGGTGAGAAAAGTTCGACCCTAAAAATGCACACCTCACCTTACCTCACGGATTTCCGTCTCCGGCGGTAAGGCCCTTTGAAGAACGGAGCTAACACGTCAAAAATCTCCCACAAAAAGGCCGTGCGCGACCGGCCTCAAGCAGTTGTCTCTTGGGCACTGCGGTCACGCTCTCAGGTCACTGAGAACGCCTCTAATCCAATTTCCTTTTCAGGTACCTCCAGAAGAACCCTTCCTCGGTGTGGGCAACCGGGAAGTGATAACCGCCCTCATACCTCTAACAGCACTCAGTACCACTGTATTCATAACCAACCTCCCTCTTTAATTCCTATTATTCCTCCTACATCGACTCCAAACTCTAGACTTGTTTTTCCGGCTTCCCCATCAAGTTTCACCATAGCCAACGATTCTAGTGCTCAAAACTCTGTCCCAGGTCTACTGAAACCTCGCTCCAAACTGCACATTGGAGCCTTCAACGTACGCACCCTATGTCAGATCGGTCAGCAGGCTTCCTTGGCTAAAACCCTAGAGTCTCTTTCCATTGATGTATGCTGTGTCTCCGAAACACGCATACAAGATTCCAGTGTGGTCATTCACTTGACCTCACCTCGTCAAACCGGAGAGCCAACGAGATACACCCTCTGTGTATCTGGTGACCCGATGGCCAGTTCTCGTGGACTGGCAGGTGTAGGCATAGCACTAAGCATGAGGGCCGAACAAGCACTGCTAGAGTGGATCCCCGTCAACAGTCGTCTATGTGCCTGGTCCTACGTGGTAGCTGACTGACTGACTGACTGAACTTTTCATCAGTTGTAAAACACTTCAAAGTTACAATTAGTTATATTATTTTAAATAATGTATTACATATCTTAACTAATGAAATTGAATTTGGTCTGGCATGGAAGAATATAAGAAACTGGAAGACAATATAAAATATGTCATTGTCCTAAGCCCCGTCAAATATCACGTGACTAAGTCGCCAGTCAAAACACCGAATTATACAACCTTGGCATTGTGCCAAACTAATGACGTGTTAACTAGTACAAGTAGCCTAGAGTCAATTATGAGTGGTTATTGGTTCTTCTCGTCTAGCCCTGTTCGTTTAAGTTCAGAACATAAATATGAGCCTCCAATGTATTTCAGACATATTCAGTTTATATACAAACAAATCAGATCGTATCATATATCATCAAATAGAAAATAATAATTATGCAAGACCAGAATAAAAGTGACCATGAGTGTGAGAGACTGTAATTAGTAAATTGGGATCATTTAAGAATAGCAAATCTTATAATAGTAGTCAATAGGTCAAATGGAAATTTATATATTATTATTTGATTTTAAAATAGGCTGATTTGCTGTTGACCCCTTCTGATAATAATCATCTGCTTACTAGTGACTGACTTCAAGAGATACTCCTGGAGTTCTAGTGAGAAGCAGTTACCAGTGGAGTTCAACCAGGTCTCTTGTGAGATATCAGTTCACTGAAGACAATGGTATACGGTGGCGCAACTTCGTGGATTGGTTGAAGTTAGACATTAACACCACTGAATGCCAGCTCAGTGGTCTAGTTGGTTAAGCGCCTGGCGCGAGACTGATAGGTCCCGGGTTCGGGATCGTGAACGCGCACTGCTGAGGAGTCCCATACTAGGACGGAGCGCCGTTCAGTGCTTCCAGGTTTTCCATAGTGGTCTAGCTTCAATCGACTCATGATTTCAATCTGTGAAATTTCTAAAATCTCCACAAACCCCTTCTGATTTTTGATAGAACTTCGATAAATGTATCTCATAAGCCAGCCAGTATTTAACGATGTATTATTGATATTCCTGTTTATTTAAAAGACTTTCTTAAAATATAACTTGCAAATAAACAGTAATATGTAGGAATCCTGTGGTCATAAATAGCTGCCAACAGAGGTTGATCAATTTCAGTCTTGAACGTAAACAGTGAGAATTTTATAATGGTATACTAGTTATTGAGTATTTAGACTCAGTTTCTTACTGAATAATTCGTTAGCGTTCGAAGAGATAAATCATGGTTTTGAGCTTTAAAATGAATATTTGCGTTGTTAATTAAGAATATTTAGCTAATTGACTCATTTACAACTGATTGATCATCAACTCAGTCCTGTAAAGGAGTCAAGATGCAAATACCTCAGTAGTGTAGGGTCACACTCAGCCTTTAAAATTGAATTCGAATCTCATAGTAAATATCAATTTCTTCAAGATCGCGAGTAATATCATGTTTACGAGTCTCAACTTACAAGTGAAGTAGATTTTCCTACGGACTACCTCCAACCACCTAACATATTAAAAACAAATTCTTGTTTTATTCATTACATTTCAGAGGCAATTTAAAGATCAAATTGATACCATTGTGTCCAGACAAACAGAACTAAATCGACTGAAAAAATTAATGACTAATCGAAATAAACATCATCATCCTCATCTTCACCATCATTTGCACAATGGGGATAAAAGTGAATATGATTTGAATACAAGTCAATATATAAATGAAAACATTCCCTCTTCATTATTACAAATCGAAGATGTTTCTAATATTGAGTAAGTTAAGACTAGGGATGTATAATATGTGCGTGCGTGTGTATTAAATTGTTTTTCATAAAAAACTTTGTTTTCTGGCTGTTAACAAAAGAAATCACTCATTTTATCATTGATTTCAAAAGTTGAAATCATTAGTCAATTGAAGCTAGACCACCATGGAAAACCTGGGAGCAATGGACGGCCGTTTTGTCCTATTGTGGGACTCCTCAGCAGTGCGCATCAACGACCTCGACTCGCGGGATTCGAATTCAGAACCTATCAGTCTCTCCCCAGGCGCTTAACCAACTAGACCACTGAGCTGGCCGGCATCCAACGGTGTTAACGTCTAACTTCAACCACTCCACGAAATTGAGCGACACATTCACCATTGTCTTCAGTGTGTTACTATCTCACAACAGACCCAGTTGAACTCCACTGGTCAATGCTTCTCAGTAGAACTCTAGGATATCCCTCTTGAAGCCAGTTACTAGTGAGCATATGTTGATTAGTATCAGAAAGGGTTTTCTGGAGATTGTAGTAATTTAATAATTGAGATCATGAGTCAATTGAAGCTAGACCACCATGGAAAACCTGGAAGCTTCTATTGACTCATGATCTCAACTGTTGAAATTACTACAATCTCCACAAAACCCCTTCTGATACTGATCTCAGTTATATTGGATCTATAGGATCGTCTGACAAAAGGAATATTAAATTCAAAGATGTAATTGAGATAAATTCTTTTATCAACTTATCATCAGCCATGTTGATGAATTTATTATTCTGTTTGTACACATCTTTGTCAAAACCAAATCAACAAGAATTAGCAATTATCTTTTGCTGTTTGAAGTAGATTAGTCAATTTGGAATAATATTCTCAGAGGAAATCATTAATCCACCTAAAACTGATGTGCGGATTCAATAATCCAATACCTGACAATGTTTACTTCAATGTATCACCTTTTTTTTTCTCGTTGACGAATTGAAAATCGCTTGGGATAATTTATTTAATATTAAGTACTGGATAAGCAATATTGATAATTACTAAGGGATTGACCATGGTGTAAACGATTCAATTTTACAAAATGTCGGTTAATACTTTAATAATCAAGTAGTAACATCTCTGATTATAATCTACCAGGTGATACAGTTTTGAGTCTTACAGGGAAGTATCCGTTCCGTCAAAACTATACAAGCATTTTGAGGATTTGTACCAGCTAGCACGAAAACCAGGTTAAGCAATATTCTTCACTTCACATCAAATTGTGTAACCTAAATATTCTCAGATGTACTCCTAAAATTATGACCATAAGTATTTATAGGACAAAACATTTATTTTAATTAGGCGAAATGAAATTTACATTCACTACCTCCTTGTTTATTACTGAGCACAATTATTCTTTGTTAAATAGATCACTATCATACGTTCTTGAATCACTTTACTATGATGCCTAACAGTTATGATCCATATGTTATCTAACCTACTGAGTTCTTGCTAAATTGTTTGGCTGTTTCATTATATTCTTATCAAGAAATTAATCCTGGTCAATATAGATTTATTGATTTCTCGTAATTGATTCTCTTATTTATAATCTTGGACAATTGAATTAATTTAATGAAACAATTTAATGAAAAATCATTTAATTTATCACTGATCTCAGTGATTTCATTGGTCTAATGAATAAGTGTTCACTGCTAAAATTCTATGTTATGAGTTCATTTTCCAATGAGATCAATAGGGTATAACTCCTGAAGATTAGATTCATGCTAAGACGACGATACATTTGTCTAGTGCAAGCTGTTTTTTTTCAATGTATTCCTAACTAAGATCAATGTAGAACTAGTATATAACCCATTGTTTTCTTAATCGAATTCATACAAAATATGTTACTCTAAGTAACCGTTGAGTAACTTTTAAACCAATGAGATTCTAACACGACAATTGAATGCCACTTAAAACATGATGATATATAATATATCCAGTTGAGATCATGATTCAATTGAAGATAAAACACTATGGAAAACCTAGAAGCACTGGGTCTCCGTTTCGTCCCACCATGGGACTCCTCAGCAGTGCGCATGCACGGTCCCCCACAAAAGAGATTCAAACCCAACACCTATCAGCCTCGCGCGCGAACGATTAACCACTAAACCACTTAGCCGGACGGCATCCAACGGTGTTAATGTCTAACTTCAACTAATTCACGAAATTGATCGACACATCCACCATTGTCATCAGTGAGTTACTACCTCACAACTGACCCGGTTGAATCCCGCGAGACGAGGTCGTGGATGCGCACTGCCGAGGAGTCCCACAATAGGTTTTCAACGTTGGTCTAACACCAATCGATCCATGATCTCAATCAATAAGTTAACAATTTGTTTGTTTGTTTTATTTAAAGATAAGTGTTGGGTTCGAGTCTCACTGTGAACAATAACATTAAGATTTCTTTTTAATCAGATGACAAGTCCTAAGGAGGCTGAAATGTATGTCTTTAATCTCATTGTATATATATATGTATATGTTTACATATTGCTTAAAGTCTTTCTTCTTTTTAATTTTTCTATGTAGAGAATACATGAATGAAATGTATACTAATCCAAATTATTGTACAAATCTTGAAGCAGATTATTGGCGTAATATTGCATTGAAAATGAATAATGAATTAAATCATTTACAAAATGATGCAAATATACTTGTAAATATCTTAACAGAATTACAACAATGAAAATTGATTCATTAAATAATTCATTCATTAATTAGTTTATAAATGATATAATTGTTTATCAAAATAACGAAAACAGATTGATTTTGATGAAGTTTTGTTCTCTGAACTAGGTGGTTTAGTCGTGGAGCTTTCATTGTTCTTCTTCTGATGATTGTCATTCAGAAGAACAATGAAATCTTCACGACTAAACCATCTAGCTCAGAGAATAAAACTTCATCAAAATCATCCATTTGAGCTACAAATCTTCTTCACCATCTCATAAAAGATTGAATTTATCTTAATGATCTTCTCTTTAGTTTTAGTGAATTCAATAAACTGAAGCCTATGCGTAGCAGCGTTTTCTGAATTTGCAAGAATCAAAATTTAGGATGCAGTTCTAGTTACATTTGAAGCTTTATCACACTGAATACCTATATTGATAGAGTAGCCTAACGGTGATCTAAACTATGGAAAATAAAAATTGTTCTAGTGAGAAGCAGTGACCAGTGGAGTTCAACCGTGTGTGTTGTGAGATAGTAACTCACTGATGACAATGGTGGATGTGTCGATTAATTTCTTGAATTAGTTGAAGTTAGACATTAACACCGTTAGATGCCGTCCGGTTAAGTGGTCTAGTGGTTAAGCGTTTGCGCGCGAGACTGATAGGTGTTGGGTTCGAAACTCCTTTGTTGGGGATCGTGCATGTGCACTGCTGAGGAGTTCCATGGTGTGACGAAACGGCGATCCATTGCTTCCAGGTTTTCCATGGTGGTGTAGCTTCAATTGACTAATGAATCCAGTTATTAAACTATTACAATCTTCACAAAACTCCTGTCTGAAAATATAAATATTGATTTAAAAAGCCATGATACTTTAATACCGTGTAAAACGCCATAATCTAAAATAAAAACTTGTTTCACAATCCTATGCTTGAATTTCTTAAATCTACTCCCTGTTAACTGATTGTATGCTCTTCATATATTGCATATTGATAATAAGTACTACTGTGACAAGACTGATGATCATTACACTGTATATTCCGAAAATATTCCTGTGAAACCTAATATGGTGTCACCATTGACAATGTATTTTGTTTATAATCTATTCCTTCACATTGATAATATTTCTTTGACAAGTGCTCAGTTCATACAATTGTTGATTCATACTTTTTCAATTAATTTACATGTTATTAGCATAAATTACACAAACTTGCACTTCTTAAACAAAATACATGAAATGAAAGTATAAAAGTTCACACTGAAATGAATCAGAGAAGTCATCCTTATCATATGGATAGATTTCATGTAATTCGAAGATAATCATAGTCATAGACTTAAATCATTCAAAGAATAAACAAAAACTTACCAATGAAATTGTTCTAGTATTACCACTCTATGTTATAAGTTAAATTATTTTTGACCATTGTTTGCATAATCGGTGAAATTGGAGTAATAAATGCTATTAAAGGCTTGATGGGTTCAGGTTCAGTCATTGAAGATGTAATGAGTACATTCTTTGCAATCAATCCAAACTAACATGAAATACCTATTCAATGTTATCATATTTTCAATCATTCTCAGTGAAAAATGAATTTAAACTTTGCCACATTGTACAATCTAATCTGAATTCAATAGCTAAGTGGATAGCGTGATGGCCTTTGAAGTGACTGGTACCGGGTTTAGTCCTAGAGTGAACATCAAGTCTAAAATACAGATATGTTCAGCTGATGAGTTCAAAATAGGACAAAGCGCGCGTCCTGGATTCCACTGCTAGCCACTATTCATCTTTGCTTACAAAGAAGTACTCTGCTTTTCAGTGAGTAGTTACCAATGTCATGTTTATTTCAGTCAATCATTTAGTTACAACGTAGGATCAGGCACATACATGCATCGGTCCAAGTTGCCACACCTCATTAGCACAGCAAGACGAACATCGGATTCATAGAAGCAGTTAACTCAATGGTGTAATGTATAAAGAAAAGATTTTATGTAAGGATATAGTACAGAAAGAAAGAATTGGTTCGTAGAAAAAAGATATTAAATAATTTTAATCACATAGTTTAACAGAAGACAAAGAGTGTCTACACCTATGCCATTGTGATCGATTCTGAGCCATGTTACCTAGAGTTTCCAACTATTGGTTACGATAGTCACGCCGAATCCCAAATCACGTTTACTTAGAGTTTAGTATTGATCGATTATTATCTATTTATCAATTATGACACATTCAGCAGAAATAAATAACTTTTAACAGTAAAGACTGAGATTAAAATTAATAATAATTTATATTCTGAAAGTAATAATTACAGAATCCACGCCAGTTTACAGGTATGATCAATTTGATATAAATATTAGCATTAGATGTACAGAACAAACATATGATAGAAGAAAGTTTTAAGTATACTAGTTCAGTAGTTGTTTAGGTAGTACATGTAGTACAGCGATCCAATGCATCAGCCGGGAATTTTTAATATTTCTTAAATGAACAGCCTGTTGATTTATGAACGGAGTAATTAAAGTCATTTCGTGTTCCAAATCGAATTAATGATAATTATCTACAACTAGAGAAATTAAAACGAAAACAGAGAGCATGGAACAACAAAGCAATAATCACCAAAGTATGCCAATCAGGTCTACCTAAATGCGTGTGTCATGTGACACAGTGATATACTGTTAAACTTTCTGGGACGGGGTTACCATAAAGTGACAGCAAGTAAGTGGTTTTACTTAGGGAATGCACTAATAAAGATGGCTAAATATTTAAAGTTCCTATAATATCACTTTTGGAATGAGATACACTTACAGGTGCTAGAAAATTCAATGTATTTTCGGAGGAGCAGTATGCAGCGAACAAATAATGAGAGTGATTTTATCGTACGGATAGATTGTGGTAGGTTATTTCAGAGTCTAGGAAATTTAGAGGTGAAGTAATTCATATAAAGAGATGATTTAGAATAAGTTTGTTTTGTGGAGATAGTAGTAATTTCAATAGTTGAGATCATGAGTCGATTGAAGCTAGACCACCAATCAGAGACCAGAGGAGTTCTACCGTGTCTGTTCTGAGATAGTAACTCACTGATGACAATCGTGGATGTGTTGCTCAATTTCGTGGATTAGTTGAAGTTAGACATTAACACCGTTGGATGCCGGCCGGTTAAGTGGTTTAGTGGTTAAGCGTTCGCGCACGAGACTGATAGGTGTTGGGTTTGAATCTCTTTTGTAAGGGATCGTGGATGTGCACTGCTGAGGAGTTCCATGGTGTGACGAAACGGAGACCCAGTGCTTTCAGGTTTTCCATAATGTTTTATCTTCAACTGACTCATGATCTCAACTATTGACAACGATATGTTCTTAATTGACATTTCTGATTACAAATAAAAACGAATATCTAACTAGTAATGTAGTGAAGGAGAACACAGGTGAGGACAACCGATCATATTTATCACAAATTACAGAATTACTCGATAAAATGGAAAAACCATACTCTATAAAATGTTCATTAATTGTCGAAAACATAATTATTCCTGCATTTCCTTACTAATCACTTTCTGTTACCATTCTTCTCTTCTTGATCATCCTAACCTTTTGCTGCCAAGCATTCTATTCCTCACTAGCGTTATATACTACTTATATCAATATACGTAGCACACATTACAGTAACAATATCTATTAATGAATGAAATGTACTCCTAACACAAATATTTTTCCAATGTTGTCATGATATTTAATTACTACAATGTATATATAATATCCAGATATATAAATAGAATCATCTTTTTTTCTCGACGATTCATTTATCATCTTTTCATAATTATATTTTGATCATAGGGGTTGAGAAAAGAGAAGAACTAACACATGATTTCACATTATAATTATCATATTATTTCTGATGACTATTGTTTAGATATTAAAATTAAACAGATGAACACAATGTATAGGGAATTATAAATTTAGCTATTATGCTCGTGATTACATTATAATCACAAGGAATATTATTATCATTTTCAATTGAATATACTATACTACAGAGATTTTATTAAATTAATTAATTTGGTCTCATAGTCTGTGGCTTGATTATTTAGTTATTTAAAACATATTGTGAAAATGATCAATAAAGTTGGACTAGTGTAGTGAATACTTACTTACTTACTTACTTACTTACTTACTTACGCCTGTTACTCTCAATGAAGCATAGGTCGCCGACCAACATTCTACAACACAATCTGTCCTGAGACTTCCTTTCTAGTTCTATCTAACTGTTGTTCATTCTTCTCATATCTGTCTATCTCCGTTGCTCGACGTAATGTGTTCTTTGGTCTTACTCTTTCTCCTTTGGCCTTGAGGATTCCGATTGAGGACTTACCTTGTGACTCAGTTGAGTGACTTCCTCAATGAGTGTACTATCCACTTCCATCTCTTATTCCTAGTTTCTTCCCCCATTGGGATCTGGTCTGTTCTCTCTCATAGTAGGTTCTTGCTGATAGTGTCTGGTCAACGGATCCGAAGTATTTTGCGTAGACAACTATTAATAAACAGTTGTGTCTTCTGGATGATGGCTTTTGTAGTTCTCCAAGTTTCTGCCTCATACAGTAGAACTGTCTCGACATTTGTATTGAAAATTCCGACTTTGGTGTTGGTTGACAGTTGTTTTGAGTTCCAGATGTCCTTCAATTGTAGATATGCTGCTCTTTCTTTACCGATCCGCGCATTCTCATCTGCATCAGATCCACCGTATTCACCAATGATCCTGCCCAGATATGTAAATGTTTTTACATCTTCCAAATCTCCGTTAAGTGTGATTCGATTGCTGCATGTTGTGTTGTATCAGAGATTCTTGCTTTTTCCTTTTTGTATGTTGAGACCTATTGCTGTTGAGGATGCTGGCAAACTGGTCGTCTTCTTCTGCGTTTGTTGTTGTGTGTGCGATAGAAGGGCCAGATCATCTGCGAAGTCTATATCGTCCAGCTGCATTCTAGCTGTCCACTGTATTCCATGCTTCCCCTCAGATATTGACGTCTTCAT